CGGTTGTTCATTACGTGTTATATTCAAGAGGGTCTACGAACATCATTTTCCATGGTTGTTAGAAAACAGCAGTAGATCCATAGGGAGCTTAAACATTCTGTAAACACCCTGCATTTTTTAGAAAGAGACTATTTTAAGTCATGTACAATGTAAACAGAAATCTCGCAGTGGCGATGCACTTTCATCTTCTAATTACGAAAGCCGTCGTTATACATTTAGAGGAGCTAAAACTGTCAACTCGTTATTCTCTCTTTTATGACCTTGAGTTTTCTAATACCAGCCTCTTCTGTCTCACTTCCGTTGCTCACTATTTCCTCATCTTTTCCGGCTAGTTTCTATTACGGTTTCAAAATTTATCTCAAGTTACACAACTTTTTTCGAAATTAGTGACCTTACTGTGACGTTTATTACATTATTGATGAGCTTTCAAAATCCTAACAACTACTCATCGTTCGTTCTTCTTTCCTTGTTATTTCCGATTAACCATCGTTCTTAACATTGTGAAAGCAAGGGTATTTGTAAATGTAAAACGCTAAGAAATAATTCTCCGGATAAGATCTTTTTCAAGTGCCACTTTTCATTTTGATAACTTAAACCTATAAGTAAAGAAGATATACATAATACATTTCTCTCTACTATCAATAATTTCTGAACAAACTAGTACGGGTAACGTGTTTTACTCACAGTCAATGTTTCGAAAATGTGAACCGCATTCTGTAAACTACAGTTTAAGCAATATAGGTTAGCCGACACAATAAACATACTTCACACTTATTTTTGTCATTTTCTATCTGTTTTATTCTCACTAGTCATGTTTCTTAATTTACTTTCCTTCATTTCGTTTTAGACATCACACTCCAATGGTTAATTAAACATTCCAAATCTAACCGATAAAAGTAGTATATTTTTTCGATTGATAGTAATCATTAATTCACCTAATGAATAATTTAAGATATCATCTCTGATCGCATATTAAACATTGTGAACCATGCGAATTAATTAATTGCTTTACACATTATTTTTTATATTCATAAGTCGTTATGACAAAACATGATGAAATCTCAATTGCGATCTTGATATACCTTTGTAATAACCATTCACAAGAGTATTGAAATAAACAACCTCATTCTGTTTTATTCCGTAATAATCTTCTTCATAAAAAAAATACTATTTCGTACACAATGATCATCGTATCGACATTCCATACATTTACTTTACTATAAAACTCAAACTAAACAAAAAAACATACTTGTTATCTCACTTCAAAGTGCATGCGCTTGGTTATTTTCTGTATCTTTTAGTTGTAAAATGATTAGTGTGTGTATAATTGGTTGTAATTTTATTTTTTGCTTTATATATATTAATTATTTCAACTCGGTGGTGGATAAAAACGAAGAGAGCAACCATTACTGTTCGTTTTTTGTGTGTACTATATTCATCTTCTCATTGATTTTTCAATGAACTAGTGTATTTGTGATTTTCTTCGAATCTGTAATTTCTATTTCATTTTCTTTAATTATTTCTCTACTTAATTCACCTTCTATTTCCTGCCTCTATAATCGGTTTGTCTCTGCTTTTCTGGTCAATCCTTTTTGATTACAATAGACCAGACATTTAGCTTAACCAAATCAAATAGTTACTTTTATGCAGAATGTTATTATTTCCTATTTTGTATGCATAATACACGTTAAAGTGAAAATCACTAGATGCGATATACTCGCCCAGCTCTCAACAATTTATGTTTTATTAATCCTGTTATAGTGACAAATGATTTTCGTTATAAAACCACTTTAAAGCTAATCTCTTCAATTTGTAATGCAATCAGTGTTATTTTCGTGCATTCATCTAACTTCATTTTGTGATAAAATACGTAGATAGTAACTTACAAACTTTTATACTGAATTACTTTAAAAACGAAAACAAGATGGTTTCAGATTAACAAAGGGAGAACTCCATACTGTCTTCGCAATATATGAGACGGATTCTATTATTCTGAGACTGTAGTCCAGTAAAAATGAACTTATAAGTAGTTGCAGATAAAAGATCAATTTAGAGCTTAGCATAAATGCGCTGATAATAGGTTGGTTTATTAATTTGTAAATCTTCAACTGACGTGGCTAGAACTTGCATTTGTAAGATCAATCAGCATGTACACCTATATGGTGCGTTGGCTGGTGTTGATATAGACTGGGAAGAAAGCTAGGGGCAACCAAATGTATAACACTATTCCAAAAAGCCATCGGTCGTGGGTATGACTCATGTTGGTAGATGCAGACTGCATGGTTGGTATGTGCGCGAAAACAGTTATCAGTATTAAAGGGCATTGAGTAATACCGATCACAATGGTGCAGATTCATTCACTGTCTTACTTTGAATAATGTGTTTCAGAACTTTACAGCCCCCAGTTTGCTATTACATTCTTCTATCTATCCTTCAGTATTCATCTCGATGCTTTCTTCTCGTTATAATGTTATGGTGTGGCGAATTGGACTGATTCACAGTCATATGCTTATGATTAGATCAGTTAAATGCATCTGTTGCAGCGAACACATTTTGTGTATTCAATGTTTTTGAGAAATCTTTAAAAATAAGTGAATCATTTTTTTGCCCAAAGTTAATTCCTTTCATAAACCTTAACAAAAGAAAATAGAGATATTTATGAAAAAAAATGAATTTTTAATTCTTAAACATAGCTTTCCAACTTACAAGTAAGTGAAAGTAAAATCCGGAAATTGTAGATGATCAAAGAAGTGAAAATCACTTATATATGAATGTTAAGAGGAAAATCACTGACCAATCATGCAGCACATAAAAATCTATAGAATTCAATCTTGAAGGTTGAAACCAGTAAGATAGCACTAAACAAGATGTCAATTCCTAATTCTAAACAGTTCATACTAACACATTAGAACCAACATAAATTCAATTTGTCCTACACATCTCTTAACATCAGTTTCATTCAATAATAATAATAAGTTTTTGTTCATAGCGTTATTTAGTAAATAATACTGTCACGCTGTACTACCTAGAATAAAAAGAGAAACATTTTTACCAACATTCCTAATCTTAAGACGCGATAAATGTGCAAGATCACAGTTTAACTCATTGTAATTCGTGTTGTTTTAATTCAATATCAGTCAGTCGATCAAAAACAACGTAGAACTATGTAAGTAAGTTCGCGTTGCCATACTACATCTGCGAATCCAATAGTGATAGAAGTAGTAGAATTATGAGCAGTTATCGGAGAGATAAGGGTTTGAAAATGAAGGTCATGAGAAATTCAGACTAAATTTTGAGAGAACAGATATACTGGATACACCTGCGCCATTGCAAATGACGTCCAATTTCTCTAACCATTGATTAGTATCATCTCGCGGACCCAAACCAGGTAGTCGACACCTACCGACATGACTTAGTCCACTTGTCAGAGACTTCATGAATTTGTGCCGTGTTGTGATTTGGCCGCTCCTAGCTTCCTTTCAACCTATTCCTACACCACAAAGCAGCACATTAGGGTAGTTGGCCATATGTAGCACATGTCCCAACAGTTTCAACCGATGAAGATTCACTATTTCATCAATTGATTTGTCTAGTACCTGTTTCCTAACACCTGCATTGCTTAATCGATTGTCCCAGGATATAAGAGCAATGCTTCGAAGACACCTATGATCGAATACTAATAGCCTACGAATATCCTCTACTTTTACTGGCCGTGCATGATGGCAATAAAGTAGGACTAAACGGATTGATGCGCAGTAAGGCCGTCCTTTGGTTGGTAGACGGGTATCTTGCGTGCGCCATAAACGACGCAAGTTGGCAAAAGGTACGCGAGCTTTCTGTATCCGAGCTGAGATTTCGGCAGATACCAGGCCGTCAGCACTGATGAGACTCCCAAGATAGGTGGGGCGGTCAACATGCTCGACTACTTCACACCCTATCACTAGTTTAGGCGAAGATAGTGTTATCTGTAAAAGCAAATCTATGAAAAAGCTAAATTAGGATGGTGAAAGTGGACAACTTTGACGAACACCACTCGAAGTAATCAGTTCCGATGACAGTCAGTGGAGGCGTAGGCAGTTACGAAGAAGAGGCAATGACGAGTGTTCTTATCTTTCCAAGTCTTTACTGTCCAGTATAGTCGGACAGCGAACGATCGACTGTCTATTGGGATCCAGTCTAGGAGCGCTAGTTCTGCCCTAGGACTGAATGCTATTCCTACACCACCGAGCCCCCGAAAAGCAGCATCACGGCTACCAGATACACGAAAGGTAAATTGAGTTGTTTCTATATCTTGACATGGAGAGGTCAAGTGAATGATGCTACTCGGACCCTGAATGCGTGTTTCCGAGAAGCAGGATATATCTATGATGCGAGTCGTAGCTAAGCGTCGAAGTATTAACGATGTTAATATTTTAGACACTATATTGGTTAAATTGATCCCTCTGTGGTTATTATCACAAGAGGATCTAATATTCGTCTTAATTCAGTGTGATTTTTGTTTAATATAAAACTCATCTTATTTTTGTGGCATTTATTCAGTATAAAATTCTCTATTAACAACTTAATGTGAACTTCGGTGTTTTTTAGTAATTCTATATAATATCCATTTTACGTATTCTTCCTATTTCGATACACAATGGATTATTATTATTATTATTATTATTATTATTATTATAAGTAAGCTAAATTTGCAAATTTGGAGTCACTTATGTTCAAGACAGGTAGGTATATGAGTAGCCAGATTGTTCCAAATGTATAGGACAAATACATTACATTTGTTTTCTCATTATTCTATCAAAATATTCTTTTTTTTTAAAAGTATAAAAGTATAGTTATATGATTGATGAAAACAAATAAGATATGTGTCATTTTCTACAATACTTTTCAAATAAACTGAGGATTATTTATAATAATAAAATAATAAGTTTGTAATCTTCTAAATTAGTAAAAAATTGAATTACTTCTGAAGCAGAGCATTTAACACTAAACCCGTGAAATGACAGAAATTCTATTTTCTATTCATTCGAATACTTTTTACTTACAATTACAATCTCAACAGAATTTTAAAGAAGATTTAGATAAAAGAAAAGAAACTTAATACTAAAAATAAACTGACAGCACTATTTACATGTTTTAAAATCAAGTTAAAAATGTCTTTAAAAACTCGACTCAATAATATCAGTATCGTCAATATGTGTTCTCTCAACAGACTGATGACTTATGTAGGAGTCCATGACATCGTTAGAATTGCTTAAAGATTCAGTGAAATCGTTTTCTTTTGAAATTGAATTCATTTCCTCCTGGGTAGGAGATTTTTGAATTTCTCCTTCGATTTCATTCATTTTGTTTGGATTAGAAGTATTCAAAATACCAGATTTTGCAAGTACCTAAACGGTTAGAAAACAGTTTTTTAAAAATGTCAAAATATTCTCTCTCATAAGTAGAAAATCTATAGCTACACATAAAATGTAAACAAATAAATCAGATGTATTTAAATATTGATCGATATTTCCTTTAAAAAAAAGTGATAAGCCCCTACAGATGTGTCAATCTCATTAACTTCGTGCGATAATTATCATTGAGACATCGTTGCATTCGATTTTTGAGCACGTTGCAAACGAAATTATACATACAAAACAAATAGGATCGAAAAAATAATAACCATTTAATAAAACACAACCTTAATCCACTAACTAACCAGTGTAGAAATAAAAAATTTATTATATAAGGTTTATACAGTTGCAACAAGCTCAATGTTTTTCCATGTAAATTTTAGATTTTAGTATTAACAGTTGGTTGAAAAACCATTTGGTTGGAAAAAGAAAGAAAACTAATATTAATATCTAGGGTTTAAATTTTGTTTGAAACAGGATTATAATATCAATCTTACAACATTCTAACTATGGCTTGTTCACGCAAGCCAGTTACCCCCACCGGTCAGCATTCTCCAACCAACTCTGTTCTGAGCCCGCCTTTCCAGTTCTACTCAATGGCCAATTACTATTTTGATGTCTACTTCTAATTACCGGCGCAATGTGTTTTTTAGTCTTCCTCTTTTCTTTGGGTTAGAAGATTCCAAGTTAGGGCTTGTCTCGTGATGCCGTTGGACGATTTCCGCAAGGTGTCCTACCCGTCTCCAGTGTCTTTTCTTAATTTCCCTTTCGGTTGAAAACTGATATATTACCTACCACAGTAGGTTGTTGCTGATGGTGTCTGGCCAACGGAACCCAGTATCTTGCATAAATTGTCAATAAACACTTGTATCATGTGGATGGTGGCTTTCGTAGTTCTCTAAATTTCAGCGGTATACAAAAGAACTATTTTGAAGTTTATGTTGAAAATCCTGCCCACGCCTGACCAATTCGTCTCTTCACATCGGTAACAGATGCACTTTGTTTATCAATAATGCTACCCAAATACGTATTAAATCTCCCTTCCTTCAGAGCTTCTTCAAGTGTGATCTGGTTGGTGCAGGCTGTGTGGTGTCCAAGGATCTTTCCTTTTTCTTTGAGTATGTTGAGATCTACTGCTGTTACACGGATCGTCTTGCCAGGATTTGTTGTTGTGTGTGGGACAGAAGAGCTAGACTATCTGCGAAGTTCAGGTCGTCCAGCTGCATCCGAGTTTTCAACTGTATTCCGTGCTCTCCTCAGATATTGACGTCTTCATAATTCAGTCAACCATCAGAAGGGAAAGGGTGAGAGAGTAAGCAACATTGTCTAACACCGGTCTTCCATTGGAATGAGTCTGTGAGCTGCCGTCCATGCACGGTTTTGCGGAATTCCGCATAATGTTGACTATCTAATTAGGTATACCATAGTATCGAAGAAGCCTCCATAGTGTCATCCTGTCCACGCTGTTAAATGCTTTCCCGTAGTCAAGGAAATTAATGTAGAGTTGAATCCAGTTCTCATTCTTAATACGATCTCTCAAGGTCTCTTCCCAGGGCCTGTTTGGGAAAAAACATAAGACAGATCGACCAGTACGATTTTTCAATCCCTACCTTACCTGTGACCTTGACGTGGTGGTCTAGCTTGCTTGTACTGACGACTCAACCGAGCTATATTGGCTGCAACACATGTTCTTTTAGGTTCTACTATGCCAGGCAGATTGGTTGGAGAACGATTAAACCAAGGGCAAAGTCGTGCTGCTGACTGTAGAGAGGTGTGACAGCAGTAAGGTGTTTCTCTCGGTTAGAAAATGTCGACTCTAAGCATGTCACACCACACCTTACACACGGATTTCCGTCTCCGACCATAAAGCTTTTTGAAGTGCGGAGCTAACACATCAAACAATTCCCATAAAGATGCTGTGCATTATCGTTCTCGAGCAGTTGTCCCTTAGGCTCTCCAGCCACGCTCCCAAGTCAGAAAGACTACCCACTAATTCAGGTTCTTTTTCAAATTCCTCGGGAAAAAATGTCCTTTTATGATGTTGGCCGCCTTCATACTACTCGAACAGTATATGATATTTGACAGTGAACTATGAGAATGTATTGATGGGACTTAAAAGTAAAAGAATAAACACTGCAAACATAAAATGGTGTAATCAAAACCCATAATACTTATGTTTAATTTGAAATGATTTGGATTACCGTGTTATTAATATTTCGACTGAAATTTGATTAGTTTTGATTGGCATGTGTACATCTTATGCGAACTGCCTCGATATAGCCACAAATTAATATTAAGTGGATGGAATGAGACTTATAGTGGAATTAAAGACGCACGTTTCGTCCCATTTGGGACTCGTCAACTTCATCCCGGAGTTAAAGTTCACTGCTAGTCATATTCTATCTTTTCAATAATACTTTGTTGTTAAACGAATTATAATAGATATGTATTAAAACAAACACGATATTTCCACCTGATCATTCATATAACCTTAAGTGAGACGAAATCAAGTGAAACTAGTGCTGTTGTTGTTCAACCAGAGTTACCTAATCCATCAACATTGAGTACAGAAATTCATAGATAACCTTTAACAATATCCACTATGACTTCATATTATATAAACGGTCTATATGAATTTATTTACTTGTTGTAACATTTTTTTGCCTTTTTATAAAGTTTAATAACCCTACTCACTATTATGCATATCAGTGAATTCAGTACGACTATTCTGTAAACAAATGTAAGAAAAAAAAGACAAATAAACATTTGAAACTACCAACCTGTTGAATTGACTTCATATGCACTGAGTTAGCTAAATCATCCTCGTTTATATCCACACTAATATCCATATGTATGTAATTCTGAGCAGGATCAGAATTTGTTGGTGATTTGACACTAACGAGATCTTCGTTTAATTCCTTTCCATCTTGTTCAAAGTGTTCATATGGAGGAATCTTTGTTGGCTTCTTTGAAGATAATGGAGTAGAACGACAGAAATTTGAATTGAATGGAGTAAATGATGACTTTGCATTCAATGAAGATCGGAAATGATCAAGTGGAGTTTTTAAAATATTCGAATCTCTGCTAATTTTCTCATTATCATAAGATTTTAATGGAGTTTTCTGAGTGATACTCATTTCATGTAAACTTTGTGCAATTGAATCTTCAATGGTAATACATTCTGCATTGGCAGCTGGTGAACCAGAAGATTTATCAAGGTAATCATCATCTGATAGACTATAGGAGGATTGATTCCTGATTTCCAGAGATCTGTTAACCGATTCCTGCTGTACTTCCATAACATCTTGTGACAGACGATGTTCCACACTTGGCGAGAGGGGTCTATTAACGCTGTTTATATCTGCAGGACTACTCTGATCAATTAATTGATGATTAGCAGTAGTAGAAACCAAAGGCGCATTTGAATTGTGAATCTTATTTTCACTAAGATGTTCAGTGTTAGATGAAGCATGGATTATGTTAGTGTTTGGCTTGTTAAATGATGTTACTGGTCTATTAAACATTGGTCTATGAGTGTCAGAGTGAGAAGGCTTGAATAATTGATTCAGTGGTACATGATTAGCAAAATGATTTTCACGATTGTGGTAACTGGAAGATGGTAGTTCATTTTGTAAATTAAGATTTGCTAAATGTGTTGGTAATGATCTAACATTATTTTCTGTTTGTGCCGTTTCGTGACCAATAACTCTTCCTTCAGTAACACATTCTTCAGCTATAGCACGTTCAGCTGCAACACAACGATTCATAACGTATAATCTTTCATGATCTGTATCGATAGCTCCCTCATTAACAGATTCTTTACTAAACATTAAATCATGAAATGATAATCCATATATAACATGCTTTAGCGCATCACTACTGAGAAATTTTAAATGTGGGCTAATAGAATTGTCAGACCACCTGTCTGAACCATCATGTAGCATATCTAGTTGACGTTTAGTTTCCGAAATACGTGTGTCTCCCAGACTAAATAATTCAACCAGTTCTTGACGACTGAAATACCGATATGGATCTAAGTCTGTTTTGTTCTGACCAGTCGAAGTTGTCTGGCGAATTACGGAATCTTTGAATATTTGACGACGATAAATCTTTTCTTCAACAGTAGCACAAGTAATCAATCGATAAACAACTACATCTAACTTTTGACCAATTCTATATGCGCGATCTACAGCTTGTGAGTCAACAGCTGGATTCCAACTTGGATCGAGAATGATAACACGATTACCTGCTGTAATTGTTAATCCAACACCACCAACCTACAACAAACAAACATAATGAAATATGGATTACTTGACGAAACATTACACATTCATACTACTGAAGTTAAAGTCATAGGGTTAACGATTTCATCGAGTTATCCAAAGCGCAAGTGAAGTGTGATTTAAATTCGGGTTGCAGAGAGAATACGTTATCAGAAATTAGCTACAAAGTAATAATTTTTCATTGCTATTATATAAAAAGGTTTGGTCTAGTAGGGTATAAAGACTGCATTACACAAAACGAGACAACAATGAACAAAAACATTGTACAGTTAGCCAACCAATAGAATAAAATACGATAACTTACTATTTACAGAAAAAATTCTCAGTTATCTAAATAAGGCTTCTTACGATTTTCCGAAAATACGACTGAAATGATGGATAGTTATGCTTGACTTTCTTCGGTGAATGATTTAAAAACTTAAATTCTCTTATCGCTTATTTAGATTGAACAAACATTTAGATAGATATAAGGTATTGAGTAGGTCAAAGATTAGATCAGAAGGACAATGAATTAACTTATGATATAATAGTCAAAATTACAAAATAAATTTGTTTACGACAAAGAATTATAGCCCTCTTGTACTTTCAGACAGGAAGTTATTTTCTACATTACAGTGTAATAAACGAAAACTTCAAGACCACGTGGAGTAGTAATATTTAAAGATACAGTTTTCTGGAAAAATATTTACATCCACCTAATCTTCAGACTTCCGTCTGCAAAACAAGCAGACTATTGACTGTCTTCTTCCACACGTTCTGTGGTATTCAAACTTTGATCATACCATCCATTCCAAACAAACAATGTTCCCTGTGGTTGTAAATTCTGGGCGACACTCCACTGCATGCTACTTAGATACCACGTTGCAAGCAGTAGCCACCACAACAGTAGTCATAGCTCTTTGAAAACTATTTTTGAAATCTCCAACTTAAACTAGGTCATTTTCTTCATAAAAATCCGAGGTTTTTGACTGAAGATCTAATAGACAAGCTAGTAAAGCAGTTTATAAAACTTATGTGTGACGCCAGTTCATATACCAGTTCGCACCTTAGAAACCTAAAGCTCAAGTCAATATTAACTTGAAATTAGAATTTATCAAACTCTAAGATGGACGCTTCATATCTATCATTTTGATTTAAATGTGAAGTTCGTTTTCTATCGTTAACTTTTGTGGAAACACTCTAACACGTGAAATTACTGACTACCTTGTGTTCACTATTTGAAAATGATACTTAAATGAAGACACTCATTATTCAAAAGACAGCAAAGTTACAACTAATAAAATCATTCACTTGTATCCATCAGCAGGTGTCACTGTTTAAGATATAATATTATCCCACTAATAACAAACAGAACAATTCTATAAGTACATTATTTCAAGCTTTTTATCGACCTAGTCTAACTGAAGTATAATCCGTTATACATATGAAACCTAAAAAAACCACAAGTCAGAATTATTGACTTTCTGAAAAGATGGATTAAGAAACAACAGTAGCATATATTACGATGAATTACGAACATACTGGAGAAGCAAATATTTCTCGTTTACCGATAACTGCTTCAACATGATAATATTATAATAATATCTCAGGAAAAAAACTCAAATAATATGACGGTTAAACAATCCTACCATAAAAGCAATTAGTCTATAGAAAAATCTAGAAACAACAATGAATAACAGTGTATAGTGTGCACGAATAAATACATTTCAGAAGATAAAAAAAAATCATTTATTTTCAAACTCACCTGAGTAGTTAATAGCATAACTGTATAAGATTTGTCATTTTGAAATTTGTTAATTATACTGACACGATCACATACTTTTGCAGTACGACCATCTAATCGTAGAATACGATGTTGTGTAGGACAATCTATATTATCATTATTATTATTAACAGGACATTTAATATCTAAAATAACTTTTTCAGCCATATCAAGAAATTTTATACTTTGTGAAAATATTAACGTTCGCGGTGAATCTCTCTGTGGATTCAATTGTAATTCAAGCAAAAACTTTTTCATTAAACAATGTAAAAATAAAAATTTTCCAGACTCTTTAATCAATTGTTCTGATGGTGGAAAGTGTATTTTATGTGAGATAATTTCATCAATATGAAAATTGTCTCTTTTATTAATGTCTCCATCATAATTTAAATTTAGATTTAAACATTGTTCCGTAGACAAAAGACGTGGATGATCACAAAGTTTCTTTAAAATTACCAATTCCATTAATGGTGAACGTTTTGTACGCTGCATTAATAATTCCTTCACATTATCAAGTTGTAAAAAATCACGATATGTAGATTCTTGTATGGAACTTAGATAAATCCATATTACAATTTCTGTTTTACGTGGCATTTTATTTTTCATAAGTACCATTGAATTTGTATTATATTTTTGAGATAAAACTTCCGATTTTGTACGTCTTAAGAAATACGGATCTATTATTCGTCGTAGACTTTCAGCCATTAATTGACCGTGTACTTTTTCAGCACGAGTAGCATCTTTTTCGCGTCCACGAGTTATTGGTTTATCATATTCAATAGAAAATGTTTTTTGTGTACCTAAAAGTCGACCACGATGAGTTACATTATAAAGAGACCATAATTCCTTGAGATTATTTTGAACAGCAGTTCCAGTTAAAAGAATACAATGATCTGCATAAATTGCTTGAGCTGCTTTAGTTGTCTTAGCAGATGAATTCTTCACTTTGTGCCCTTCATCTAATATTAAATAAGTCCAGTGAAATTCTTTACCCATTCTAGCAAGAATATCATTGGAATCACCATCAGTGGATTTTTGTTTTTTATATGATCGTAGGAATTCAGGATTTGCATTTAAATCAGTTGACAAATCTTTTATACTAGAAACTAGTGTTCCATATGTTGTAAGTAAAATACCACCATGTCGTTGAATTGATACTAAACTTTTAAGACGATCCGTTCGACTGTTATCATGAAAAATTACCACACGAAGTCCTGGTGCCCATCGTTTTAATTCAGCTTCCCAAGTAACTAAAACACTGACTGGCATTACAACCAATACTGTACAACAAAATTTACTGGATACAAATAGGCCAGAGAGAAAAGCAATAACCTATAAATTAATGAATATAGAAAGAGACTATTAACATTTATACTAAAGCAAGTAAATAAGGAACCAAAAATAAACCAATAATTTTGAAGTTGTCTTCAACAACACGAAACATCTCGTTTACAAACACTAAGTTTATGTAGGTTACTACATAACATCTATCACTCTACTTTAGCAAGTCCAATCAATCAATCAATCAACAGCAACGTAGAACTTCGTACGTACGTACATCAGTTCAAGGTGCCATAAAACATTACCACAGAGATGAGATTGTCAGTTCAAATCCCAAAGTAGTAAAGGTAGTAAAAGTACTAGCAGTAATCGGAGAGATTATAGTTCAACGATATTATTCAAGAAGTAGAATCTAGTGAAATAAACTTAAAAAGATACATAAGCGAAAAGTCTTACAAACCCTAGAGACAATTAAGTTTAATGGTTAGAATATGCTGGACTTGATAATGCATCTATCTATCCTATAAAACTTTACTTCAAATGTTGAATACTAGTGGTGAATTAAGGCACAATTATGCTCAGATAACCGCTTATAGTAAACATTAACTTTAAGAATAAGATAAAACATCTTTTGACCTGGCGACCAACAAAGCCGAACCAACGATGGACCCAACTAGATCACATCGCCATAAGCCATCGATGGATAGGCTCTATTAAAGACTGCTGCTCATTCTGGAGCACTTGTTCAGACTCAGACCATTCTCTAGTGCCAGCGCGTATTAGTTTGCGTCTTACTAGACGTAAGAAAAATATCACAAGGAAACCTCTTAGGGCTCTACTTAATGATAATAAAGCTAAGAATATATTTCAGGAACAATTAGGAAAACAGTTAGGCGACGATGTAGTAAGTAATGCTCACCATGAAGTAGCTTGGAATGATATCGAAAAAGCTGAGGAAACAGCAAGGATATCTACTAGTAAGGTAAACCATAAGTTTAGGGAGAAGCAGTGGATTTCAGTAGCATCTACCGAACTGATGGATGCTCGAAAGCTAATCACGCCTGGATCTAAATGTGCGATGAGGAGCAAAGTCAGTGTAAGCGCAGGTTGATAAAAAGACTACACAATGATCGTACACAGTGTTAGGTAGCGAAAGCGAGAGATATGGAAAATGCAGCGGCGATAGGCAACGGTAGGCAACTATTCAGACTCATCAAGGAAACCAGTATTAGGAATCCGACTGTAAGTGAGATTATGTCAGAAAAGGATGGTCTTATTATTCAATCTCAATCCAGGAGATTGGATCAATGGGCAGAACACTTCGAAGATTAGTTCGAACGGCCTTCAGCCATACCTTGGTTGCTCACGATCTCCAGTCATCCTATATGCCAAATCGACGTAAGTTCTCTGACTGTTTGTTAAGTTGATAAAGCCATAGGAAATCTGAAGCAAGGGAGAGCAGCTGGTCCTGATAGATTAAGCCCTGAGATTTTTAAGGATGGTCATCCAATTTTGGCAGCTAGGTTGACTGAAGTCTTAGAGTAGAATCTGGGAACAGGACGTAATCCCATCTGACTGGTCTCAATCGCTGATTGTTCCAATCTATAAGGACAAAAGTCCTCTAGTGAAAATCACAGGGGACTCAGTCTAACTATTATAGTTTCTAAATTGTTAGCCTCCATTATCCTTAGACGCCTAACTAGAACCCGTGAAGAGCAGACTAGAGAAAACCAGGCTGGTTTCAGACATGGACGTGGCTGTATAGACCACATCTTGACACTACGACAGGTCCTGGAACACAGACATACATACAATACTTATCTTCCTGTACCCAAGGGCGGCACTTGACTGTTGATCGTGAGGTTCTGTGGCAGCGTCTGTCACTAGAAGGTGTACCAAAGAAGTACATTAACCTTATACAAGCTCTCTACTCGAACACCACTGGTGAACTATCATCAGAATTCTTTACTTCAAGTGGTGTCCGTCAGGCATGTCCACTTTCTCTATTCTTGTTCAATTTTATCATAGACATGCTCCTAGATATAACCTTATCCTTGTCTGAATTTTCAGGAGTGGACCTTCTGCCAAGAAAATCGCCTGCTGATTTAGAATTTGCTGATGACATTCGGTGAAGACGCTGACAAAATGCAGAGTCTTCTGACTACCGTAAGCAACAATGCAAGCATGTTCGGCATGCGGTTTTTCCCCCGAAATGCAAAATGTTGCTTCAAGACTGGGTTGCATCGGCACCGGAATTAGTGATAGGGAGTGAAGTAGTCGAGCGTGTTGATCACTTCACTTATCTGGGGAGTCTCATCAGCGCTGATAGCCTGGTGACTGACGAAATCTCAGCTCGGATACAGAAAGCTCGATTTGCTTTTACCAATTTACGCCGTTTATGGCGTAGGCGAGGTATCCGTTCGCTAACCAAAGGACGGGTGTACTGCGCAGCAATTCGCTCCATTCTCCTATATGGATGCGAAACATGGCCGTTAAGAGTAGAAGATGTTCGTAGGTTACTAGTATTCGATCATAGGTGTCTTCGAAGCATTGCTGGTGTATCATGGGACAATCAAGTAAGCAACGCCGTCGTTAGGAAACGAGTACTAGGTAAGGATGACAGATCAATATATGAAGTAATGAAACTTCATCAGTTGAGATGGTTGGGACGTGTGCTGCGTATGCCTAGCCACCGACCGTCTCGTCGAGCTATGTTTTGCGACGTAGGAATAGGTTGGACGAAAGCTAGGGGCTGCCAGACCAAAACATGGCATAAATCCATGAAGTCATTGACATATGGACTGAGTCACGTCGGTAGGTGTTGACTACCTGGTTCGGGTCCGCGAGATGATAATAATCGATGCTTAGAGACCGTGAATGACATGGCTCAAAACCGTTTGCAATGGCGCAGGTGCATTCATTCTCTGTGTTCTCTCAAATCCTAAACTTTTTAATTCTTCATCACTTTATTCTTATCCTTTTAAGTCTATTTCACTAGATTCTACTTCTTGAATAATATCGTCGAACCCTAACCTTACCGATTACTGTTAATACTTCTACTACCTCTACTACTATGGGATTCGGATTGACAATTGCATCTCTGTGGTAATGTGGAATGGCAACTTGAACCGATGCACGTACGTACGTACGAAGTTCTACGTCGCTGAAGCATCAGCATCAAGGCGCAATTATCATGTCTTTAAAATACCTTTATGAATCGAAAATTTCACCGTGAAACACGTGGATATTTATTTAGTAACAGTTATCCAGAAATGTCACAAATTTACAAACTTAGTTACCTTTATATATATTTGATACTATGCCATCGGGGCTTTATCAGTTGTGCAAGGGACTATGATACTAACTACTGAAGCCTCAGATTTAGAAAAAAAGAGGTTCGAACCCACACATTACTCGCTAAAAAGTCAAATACTCCGGCTCGAGGTAATTAGCAAATTTGTTGCGCAATGACTTAAGGACTTTTTTCTATACAGATATGCTTTGAAGAATTTTAATCAACTTATTGTTTAGAAAATCTCAAGTGTCATTTCGTATGCACTGCATGAGACGTTAGTGTTGAATTTTATCAAGTAGGTCTCATTTATCTAACTTGAGACTTTACTAGTTAATAATTCAATAGTTATCACAGAATCATGAGTTTAAAAGTAATGTTCAGTACTTAGTCTGTACAGTAGGTTCCTGGGTAGACTAGCACATGAGATAATGGTGTCTATTTATCGCAAAGACTATTCGATCGTCCTTTATTGGCCACAACACTCATTACCATTCACTGAACTCACTTGGTACAGGTGTATTTACGCTCTAGTAATAAAAGAATCCCTAGGCAAGAGATTACATTTGAATAATTGGGATGAGGGTAGAATTACTTCTGGAAAAATACGCAATCGAGTAAAAATAAGTGAAAATGTTATTAACTAGCACAAGGGTTAAGAATACAAAACTACTCTTTTAGAGAACGATATGTTACCTCTAATTTGAAAAACTCAAAGCGATAAAAAAAATAAGTAACATTAAACATAAAACATTGCTTAAATCGAATTGCTAAAGTCAAAGGAGACTTAAGTGTAACCAAATACACTTACCTGAACTGTTTTACCTAAACCCATATCATCAGCTAATATACCGCCAGAATTTTTCTGATGTAAGCTCCATAACCATTTAACACCATACTTTTGATAATCATACAATTTATCATATAACAATTTTGGAACACTAAATCCGTCAGCAACTTCGACCAAATCGTCGGTGAGTTCAGCAAGTTCCTTTTTATTATCATGATCAACTTCAGTAACATTAGTGTGCAACTTATGATCGTAGTTATCAAAAGGAATACCGTTTTCTCTCAAGTAATTTTCGATCCTTTCCATTTTCCGCTTTATTTTGTCACAGTGCTTAAGGTTGTAGGCTCTTTTAAGAAGACGAAGGCATTCAACATAGTCTCCAGATTGGTATAACACTTTCGCTTTGTCAACTAGAGTAGACTGAGTATCATCAGAAAGCTACTTTTATCTATGAAAATCCATCAAAAACGAGTACGTACCTTCATTTCCTTTGAAGTCTCTTTCGTGTTTGAAGTAGAAATAGTGAGATCTGTAGGATATGCCTGTTCAATTTGCCCAATCTTTGATTCGACTTCATCTGACGGGACATATAGATACGCCTCCTTCGGAAGATCAATGCCCTCAGTTGTATTGCCAGACGATATACACTTCTTAGTATTTTCCTATTTTCAAAAGTAGTAAAACAAGAGGAATCTTACTTTTAAGGGACTTCCAGATTGTTTGGGAACCAGTAGAATATTTTCTTTGGTATCTTCGCTAATCAAGTTTTGAAGGCGAATAATTTTTCTCATAAGACTAGAAGAAGGATTTAGTGAGTAGGCGTCCTGACAAAGTTTAAGTGACTCATGAAAATTCCCCTCTTCGCACTTTAAACGCGCTTGGGTGACGAGTGATGAGAACTCATCCTCTCGATTCATCATGTAATTATTTTATTTGCTGTTAGATAATCTAGAAATCAAAACAAAATACCCAGTAACACCGTGAACTTAAACTGTAGTACGGAAAAAGTTTAAAAAGTAAAATTCGACATAAAGCAAAACCTCAGTTCGGCCTCTAACCCTCCAGGGTTTTTACTGGTCTCGAATTCAGGTTAAGGAGGGTCGAGCAACCTTAACCCAAAAAAAGAAACCCGCTAAGAAACGATAGCCATAAAAAACCTCTAAGACCACTCAAATTCTGCCCTTATAGATAATGGGTCTTCATGTAGTAAAGTTATGACTCCTCACAGTGACTTTAAGATTTTTCAGAAGTCACGGGGCTGATGGTCCTGCTGATAAATGAAGCAAGAATTACTATAGGTATGTGGAATGTCCATATACTGTGAGAGATAGCGATGGTCATTTAAACCGTGGTGGGAATGAGAACATGGTGGCCAAACTATCACTAGTTCCGTGACGGTCGGTATCCAACGTGTTCTTGGACTTCGTGATTTGCTCGTCTAGGCAATCGTCACCAAACAGAGCCTGACGGTTATAAATCAGGAGGCAAATAAAACAAAGTGTTGAATACGTTTATTTTTGGCACACCACAAAACGGACCAGCAGACCACAAACGCACAGAGCAGGTTAAGCACACTAGCGAGCAAGTTGGCGAACTGGTGAATGTATTAATAAGATTAAAATGTACAGACATATGCATAGGAAAATGGCTAAGTGATGGAAATATTTAACACATTAACATTAAACGGAATAGGATGAATATGTGCGTAGGCGGTAAGCAATGATTAGTCACACCAGCTTATACAAACCAGACAATAAAAGTCATTGCTATACAAACATGACTCAGTTAAATAAATTAAATATGGAGGTGGAGGCACTACAAGAAGATACAACCTGATTCTACTTGGAATAGGTGAGACGCATTGGAAACAATCTGGACGGAAAAGAACTTAGGCAGAGCAGCTGTTTTATTTTGATCATGACCTGAGGATCCTGATATGAGACCTAAACGCCACAGTTGGGATGAACAAAACCGAGTATGAAGGCATCACATGGCGAAAAAAATGAGATAAACAAGAATGGTGAGATACTGATGAATCTGTGCTTTCAGCAAGGTCATAGGCTACAAGACTTCCGCTCATAAATGCATACACAGAGCTCCATGGGCTTTAATGGACCACACAGCAGGAAACCAGATCGGTCACGTCTAGATCAACAAAAAATGCAGATACACGGGGGTGTAGGAATAAAAAGAGGTATGGATGTAACTCCAGATCACTGCCTTCTAGTGGCCAAGCTAAAACTGCAGCCAAAGAAGCCTTTGATAGTTGAACAAGCAGTACTGCAACAGTTTAATACAGCTTTCCTTCAGGATGCTATAAAACTCAGCGAGTTCAAAATGATCATCAACAATTTCCGAGATACATAACATCTACTTCCCGCTCTCATTTCTATGAACAACATCCACAGTGCGAGAAGGCAGTAAGATTTCTCTGACAGTGGCTGTTAGCGGGACATAATGGATTAAAGCATGACTGCGTTAGTTGCGCGCTGATTGGCTAGTTCCTATACAATCAGTGCCTGGTCGATACTTGGAGAGCATTTCATAAGCTTCTCATGAAAAAACTATGAAGAGACTAACGCTGCTCCTATTTCGCCTTCGCTCCGGCTTCTTCCACTTAACCCTGCTATTTGGAATATAATATTTTCTTGTTCAACCGTGTTCTGATTTCGGGACTTGTCGAGTGCATTGTTATCAGAGAATACTAAGTAATAGGAATAGCTGCGTTTACAAAGAGATGTATACCAGTGGCCATGCATTTATGACCATATGAGAGCATTTCGAGAGGGAGAGCGGACTTTCCACACCCTCGGATATACCAGGACATTCGGGGGCATGATCTGAGCACAGACCCGGGATCAGACGCATAAATCAAGAGCATGGATAGCACTTGGTAACAGCTGGAAAGGGTAGTCCAGTCAGAGTTGGTTAGAGATTCCTGGTAGGTGCAATTTTTATGAAATATTCAGGATGGCAACAGTTACCTCCACAGAGAAAAGTAATATGCTGAATGAAGTCTGTCAGTTAAGATGCGATACATATAACACAAGAAAACAACAAAAAATACTGGTAATCCATGAACGGTTAGTCACTTCATAGACCATAGTAACGCAGAATATGAACAGTATAATTTAAAGATTATTTTGACCTTACATTCGATTTACGCCTATTCTTTTCCACAATTTCGTTTTTTATGTGGCTTGATAAAGTATGTTCAGTAATTAAAATTGCAAAAAGTAGGTGAAAATTTGTTGACTAAACACCACTAAAACAACAAAAAATCGAATTCCTGTACTGATATTTTAAGACCATACTACCAACTTTTCAGAAAACATAGCAAGAGCTCCTATATCAGCTCTATTAGTCTGTTTTTAACAAGCCCACATCTATACTTGCATGGACTAGAGCTTATGACTGCTCAGAAACTAGTGAACATGATCGATATGATAGAGCTACATCTGATGGTCAACAGCAAAGAAAAACGAAATTTAATGATTCAAACACGTAACTTTTGAGCAGCTAGGTAACATCACAAGCCTTAGCATTGTGTGACTCAATCATGTAGACCTGTGCATGGTAAGAGGGTTATGTAAAATAACTGTCGATTGAGTTCATCGTGTTCATCACTAACACTTTGCTTTCTTCCCTAAATCTTTTTGTAGTCCTGTTACTAATTATTTTCTTTTAACGCCGTCTTCCTCTGCATCTGCAACGAATGCCAACGATTCAAGCTTAAGATATATTGTTATAAATCCCCGAACCCCGTTATTATCACATGGCAAAACTTGATTTTCTAACATTGACATATCAGACAATAGGCTTCTGTAACTAAAATTCTGAAATCTCACGCACAGATGTGTGGTGTGTTTCTTAGAAGTACGTGGTAAATCAACTGTGACAACCTGCTTAACTTTCAATGGCCGATATTTTTCAAGTCACATAACTCACCATTGGGGCAATTGGAAATTCGTTACTGATTTGATGAACTGGCATAATCGTAGTTTAGCATTGGTCTGATGAAGATAATGAGTATATGTTAGTCTACAAATACTAATGAGTAACCTAAGTGAATACCTCAAAAAGAACCACGAATGATGTAAGATTGTTGTAAATCGGTTGCATTGGTTATGCATGCATTCTCGATTTTCCAACTAACTTAAAGTCACAATTATTCCATTTACTTAATCCCTAAAATCTAACTGCTTCGCTCCATCGTATTTTTATTTGGTTACCATTGACTGTACATTTATTCCCAGGGATTCGTCTTTCATACATATAATTTTATCTTATTGTGTCGATGTTAAGTGAGACAACTTGAACCGATACATATATTTGCTAGGTCCAACATTCTTAGTTGTAAAGCGAACGGCAGTCACTCTCAGGGGTATATAATTATAATATCTTTTGTGTTTAAGAACTTAAGCATTTAAGAAAGTTTAGTTTCCCCCACATAGTGTTCTATACTTTCGCCAACTTTGTCGTTAAAAAAAATGTAACCTTTAAAATGGGACAGTTGGGCTAGAATTCCACCTAATAGATTAACATGTGCAGAGTAATATAGTCACTTTGATAAACAGACACAATAAAATTATAACTTACAGTGAATTTTATTCTGAATTGTTTCTTACTATAAATATTTGCGCACTCTGGAAAACAGGGGGTAATGACGAATACATTACTAAACAATCGGGTTTTAACAAACGTCCAGATTCTACTCTTGAATCGCGAATATGTTTTTATTTAAAACCCCAGTTAACACGGATAACCTGGCGTACTTGGTGGGGTTCAAACCGATGACCTAGGAGTTAGAAGTCGAACACCATAGTTGCTGACCACCACCGTCAATAATTTTATGGACTAGTGGTACGTTTAGTTTGTTAGCTCCTAGCTTTCCTCCAACCTCCTACACAACCAAGACATGCATTTCAAGATACACAGTAGATAGTTTTACGTGATAACTACAACCATCACATAGAAAGGTAATAAGCTCATCAAAATATAATAATATGTCAGCACTAGATCAGTACTAGGCGTCAACACAATAGATCCCCAGAAACCACTGTTTGTCATTATTTCCAGTAAACAATGAATCATAAGACGAACTGAATAATCAAAATTAACAAAAGATAAGTATAAACAAAATTTCTACTAAGTAAACCTCGATTCCCCTTAGTTTTAAAAATATAGCTCTTGGGAAAGCTACATAATAAGATTCGAAAAGGTTCCTGGTAAAAACTCTTGAAAATAATACGCAGTCTACATCTTACAAATTCATTAACAACCCCAGTCACCAATCACAGTCTCTACAAACGAAATCTCAACAGTGAGAACAGCTATTACGATTTGATACGTTTAAACAACTTCACTTTAAAAGGGTGAGAAGTAAAAGTTTCGTTTGGTAACTTGACCGAGAGAATTTTAGCATCTAGACGATCCTTATGAAGTGTAATTTGGATATGGTCTAATAGATAGGTGGAACAATAGTTGTTAGTTAATCCATACTTGATGCGATCAGGTATAAAAAGCTTTGTAACGAATCAAACACTTTTTGTGTATAAGGTGGAATAGTTATGTGCGTTAGACGATTTCTTAAATAGTTTTATTCCTTGCGAACAAACTGGCTCAACACAACTTATGGTGACTAATACACAACCTCACATCCAAGTTTTGTAGAGGTCTTAGCAGGATTATAACTGAACACAGATCATTAGTACTCTGTGGACACTCAAGCAATATGGCGTAAAATTTAACTCAGATTGTTTCCATGATCTTCCCATGCCATTGCATTACTTGTTGAGATCGCTAAAAGTAAGCTGTAAGTTTAATAATTGCATACAAAATTTCGTCTTTATAAAACAAACGCTTGTTTAAGCGTTTCCCATAATAAATCTCTGAATTGAGTCCTAAAGAGTCTACATTTTCAGAAAGATTGGTCGGTTATTGAATACTGACCGGATTTTTTTGTGGACGTTTTTCACTTTGCAGTGGAACACTTTACGAAAAAACGCAATTGGTGAGTCATTGTAATCCTTTTGTTTAACTGTGCTAAAAACACTTACTTTCGCGCAACTTTCTGTTTCTGTGTTGTCGTCATCATTCATAACTTGCTGCTCGTTATGCCGCCCACTTCCTCCTTCAAATGTATTCTTTACCCTGGATTTACATTTTATAGACTTGATGAGCTAGTAATTAGTAATTAGTATTTGGTGGTGTCACTGTCAATTTCGACTCGGTCACCAATAAAACCTTTAACAATTTCTAACTTTGAGACTGAACTTGACCGCTATCAGTGATATATGCGTAAGTATGTGTATAAATTTGCTTGTAGTGACTTCACTTTTATGAAAATAATGCTACTGGTTTAATAGAAACATGTATTGTTATAACCGACTCTACTAGTGATTGTTTATTCCTACTCTGTATGCGCAAACTTTCCGTTTGTGTTGATGCCATTATGGTTATACTGCTCGCCCTCTTTTCACTGGTACGATTTCGACCTTCCGTTGATACCACGAAATATATTCCTTTTCCTGGATTAAATCTCCGTCCTTGATTCACTGTGACATTACGCTTAGTGAAGAGAACGTAATTGGCCTGTGGTGGTGTTCATAGCCACAATCGCGACCGGCGTCACCACATGCTACTTGAGACTGTTTCATCCTTTTCATTAATAAAAAGTTTAACGAAAAATTTAACGGACTATCGAAGATCTTAGACGAAGACATATGTCATATCCATAGTTCAAACCTTTATCAGTATGCACCTACCTGCTACTAGGTTAACCTAATATATTAACAATGTCGATCTGAGGTAACGGTCTAGCAAATCCATCCATTGACGTATGTTGCTAAGCCCTTGAAGGTCAGACTGTCGTGAGAAGATTAGCTCATTGTCTCTGCAACTTGTAATTCTTGTGAGAAATAGTTTAATCAAGACAACTTAAAACAAATAGGATGACCTCCACCGCTCCATTAACGAGAGTGACGCCGTTGTAGTGGTGCATGTCGCCATTAATTCTCTATTCAGTATTCTCACACTACATATTAATAAGTTTTATAAGTTGGTCTTCTTTTACGACGATATATGACTCATTCACATGATTCCGCATCGAAATAAGTCGTTTTCCCCATTTATCCAATATCCAATATCTTTTTCACGAGCTAGTGTAAACCAATTTGATTTCTTCGCGCTAGATTCTTGTTCTTTCGGTACGGTTCCAGGTGTTCGGTAATGTCCAATGGATGGAGGTCTAGCCACTCGACTGTCTAATTCTAGTCAGTTGGCAGTTGGTTGTGAGTTTGTATGTCTCGGGATTTGAATGAAACGTTTGTTTCAGGGCAGAAGGGTTTCCGGATACTAGCAGCCGTCACATTACCAAACCGGAGATCAGTTAGTTGCAATGTGGAGAGTATTATTGGGAGTAAATAATTGTTTACCAGGGAAGGTGTTCTGGAAACGATCGTTCTAGCAGCACCCTATGGATGAATTTTCGAGGACATCGCGATGCTATTTTAGAGTTTTCATAAAATTTTGCAATAACCAGATATTGTCTCAAATTAAGTTAAAATCAATTTTGATTTTTAACAATGCGCAAAATAAAAATAAGATAAAGAATCAAAATTTGTTATGATACTACTGAAGAGTTGCCCGATTTGAGGCACTTAAAATACGGAACAGCTTCCCTGGAGCAAACTTCATTTGCAAGCTGAATTTATCCTTTGTCGAGAGAGAAATAGGTCGTAATCTCTTGACCATTTGGACTCAAGGATTTCTGTTCTTCAACGTAAGTATAGTAGATTTATACTCATTGTTCGGAGTCAACATAAACGAGAAAGCTTGGAATAGTTATTAAGTAACACTAAATATGTCATGCTGAAGAACCTCTACTTACCCAAAGACGAAATCGTGTAAATAACTGGAACTATATAAGGATATTTGAATAATGCTTCGGTAATGAGAATTCTAGATTTAGAGAGGAGTTATACTATGTTATGAGGTCGGAAGTTGGCTATCATAATGCCTAGGGATTTTTTTCGGAAAAATTTGATTAGAAACACACCATAACTGAAAGGTTCACTGATGTGTCAATAAATAGAAAATTATTCAGACACCTTGAGGTAGTTACTTTGGGCGATAACAGTGTGCCATCTATCTCTAAATCAGACGGAGCACATCTCAGATTTGAACTCATCGAAGACTCTGGAGGATAAAGGCTTAAAATTTCCGTAACATTCGCAAAGTCAAGAACGTACATTTTGTGACATTACAGCCTTCATAAAGATGTCTGATATAGCCAACACTGGAAACGGGTTACCCGTCAATAGAAGTTTAACCAGCCATGATAATACAAATCACTCCACATTGATAAGATAATCTATTAGAGAGTTTTAGATAGTAATAACATCATATGATAGCATTGGGGAGAACGGAGCAAGGTAGCATGGAAGACGGGGTTCCATTTAAGAAAACATTTTCGATTTGCCCGTAAGCCTATTTTCCAGACCGCAATTCCGTAAATTTACAACAGATATAGTATGATATTTAGAAGTATGTGAATCAAGAACTACGAGATAAGCACGAACGAATGTACTGTATTTAGAATTCGAAATCAAGCATTCCACAACAACAAGAAGTCACTAGTTCATTCAAACGTCACATCCGCACAGCTTAAATTGGAATCCAAGTGTCTGTAATCAATTGTACGTCTTCTTCTCAAATTCATCATGTGTCTGTCCAACAGTGTATTGGATAAAGACTCTGTATTATCTAGAATGCTCTCATTAGTATTAGAATTAACAACCGAAATTGGAACAGACTCACCTGGTTCCTGGAGTTGTATTTGATCAACATGTCGATTGTGTGTACTTAAGTCATTGATATCTAGAAGTCGCACCATAGATTTCTCGACATTCTTCAGAACAATCCCCGTGGATGGTCGAAGATCATTGCCACGATAATATGTAACTTCTGCAGACTCCAAACATCTCATATTCGACAGAAGAATTCTTCCTTTTAATAGTTTTGATGGAGTCTCTTTCGTCACCGAATGTCTGGCATTTCTATATTGCAGTAGAAAGGTATCTACTCCCCTCTCCAGCTCATTAAATGTTGAGGGGGCAATAGAATCAGTCCACTTCGAACGCTGATTTTTCAGCTTATGACACTTTTGGCAATTCCTTGTTGTACGACAAATATCTGCATTTTTTTCTGGCCACCAACACGTGAGCCCCGCCAAGGACTTCATTTTCTCAACACCTAAATGTCCACTATGAAGATCTTCCAGAACAGCTTTACGCAATGAAGGAGGAATAACAACCCGATCATTTAAACACAGAATACCATCAGGAGTAGTGGATAGCTCATCCCGCTTTCAAAAATAGATAGGGAATCTGCGTTTCAGATTAGCATTCCAACCATTCCGTATAGCATTAATTATACATCCAAAGTTTATACGAGTTTCTCTAATGAGATCTAGACGTTTCACTGGTAAAGGTTGCACCAACAAGCAGTCTGAAGTATTAACAGGTTTATCTTGTAATGACTGTCGAGAAATGTAGTCAACATGTTGAATTTGCTTGGCACTCCTGTGCTGAACCGTTTTCATACATCCACTGCACTTAGCACACGTGGCTAACAAATCTTCAAGTAAAGCATCAGAATTTACTTTAGAAACTAGGAAAGACAACTCCACTTTAAGCCTTTTCAAATTCGTTAAACACAGTATTGACAGTCTTGTTTCGCTAACTAAAAATTCACAAGGTATGTATGAGGAATTATCATCTCTTATTAACAATTCACAACATCCTCGTATAGGCAGTCTGTGTCCAGTAATCACCAATATTGATACTTCAGTGGGTCGTACCACAACGTTAGGATCTAACAATTTCAAGTTCTTGAATGAAATAATGGACTCTATACTGCCTGTGTCCACAATAAAGTCATGAAATGAACCAAGCGACGTATATAATCGCTTTTGAATATGAGCATTACCTTTCGAAATGGTAGTTAAAGATAAATGATCATTAGGATCAGCTGAATTATTGGGATCTAAATTACAAGATTTAGTACTACTTGAGGCAAAATGAACAGTAGCTTTGCATACTGCTTGAATGTGTCCTATCTTACCACATCTAAAACATTTAGCATTACGATATGTACATGAAATACGAGAATGAAGTTTTCCACATGATAAACATTTGCCAAACTTGGTTTCACCTTTGTGATTTCCTTTGTAATTCTTCATTGAAACACCGTTCATATTTACACGAGAATCGTAACCACTGTTAGACGAACACAATTATGATTGACCCTGAGATTGTATTTCATCATGACAACTAATCACAGTATTGGAAATCTTCATCGACTGAATATCAAGTTCATTCAACGCCTCGTAGATAATGCACGCAGTTCTAACATCTTGAAAGGAACAGTTTGACATTCTTAACAGCTCTCTTTCCAAACTAGGTATGTTAATTCCTGCAATGAATCGGTCTCTCAGCTGCACATGAAGTCGATCACCAAAATTACATTTGACAGCCTGTTTCTGCAATTCAAGAATGAATTCCTTAACATTTTGGTCATTTTGACGAATCATCTTATGAAATTTCGCCCTTTCACGGCATTCAAAACTAGTGAACGTTACATGATTCAATAATAACTCCTTAAGCATTGCGTAGGAAAGTGAGATAGGTTTTTTTGGATATGCCAAAGTTTTTAATAAGCTGTACGCTTCTTTTGTGATGAATGTCAGGAAATGAGCCACAATTTTATCATCTTTGACATCTTTCCTGGTCATACTCCAGATTTCAAACCTTTCCAAATAATCTTCAAAAGCTTCAGAAGTAGAATGAATATCTAACTGTTCCATTACAAGCTCCATCGCGACGCAAATATGATATTTAGAAGTATGTGAATCAAGAACTACGAGATAAGCACGAACGAATGTACTGTATTTAGAATTCGAAATCAAGCATTCCACAACAACAAGAAGCCACTAGTTCATTCAAACACCACACATAGATAATAATATAACACTGGCCTTAAAAGCTGGTCATTCAATGTTTGTTTGGAGATAAATTGTCTAGCCAGATTCTCATTCATGAAATGAACAATAATCTTTATTCTAAAATAACATCGTGGGATTTAAGGCAGGCTAGTTTACGGGAGAAATTAAGTTGCCACAAATGCTAAGGTAAGGGTGTGACTTTTAAGAACTCGTACGTAAGGCGTATACTGAATATAAGGAGGTCTATCATTGTTCATTGCTGATAAGGTTGTGAAAGAAATGAAAGAAGGAAGGAAAATTAGGGCGGCAAGGCTATTGGATCCATGAGTTGGGCATGGTTTGATCACTCATAGTGGAGTAGACAAAGTGATAGTAGGTAAGTAGACAAAACCCATACCGCCTGCCAAAACTCAGGAATAAAGAACGATGGGTTGTTATGAGTGAGAAGATTGAAAGAGTCCTAATAATATGAGACTTGAAGATTTTGGTTCGCGTTATCACATGGTACTCTATAAAAATGCGGGCAAGAAACAGTCTAGGTCGATGCCATTTAAGTCAACATCTGTCAATGCAGGAATTTCGACAAATTCGAAAGGCACAAGATTTTATTTCCAGAGGTCACGTTAGCCATTGTTCCACTATTATAGAAACTTATGGATAGAGTATGAAATAAAAACAGAGTTTTGATTCTGGAATAGCGGTTCAGGAAGTTTAAATACGCGCCTTGCCCAGCTAAATAGCAAAAAAGCAACTGACCTGGGTAAGTAATTGTAGAATTATTTCGACGGTGGCTGTCCTAATTGTTCCCAATAGAAACACTCCTGTACGTTCCTCCTATTTCCGGATCCCGACCAAATCAAAAGGGCTAAATTCTAGGAGAAAACGTCTCTTTATTATTATAAAATGGAAATACAGAGTCTTACGGTATTGGTGTTTCTTCCAGGACTAAATTACTCCGCAGAGTATCCAATACAATAACTAGTAAGTGACACTAAGTCCAGCAGCCACCGCGTCCATCCAAAAATGTGGCGGTAGCCATATTATATCAGATTTAAACAATATATGTACAGTTCAGAAGCAAACACAAAAACTTCAATATAGGTACAAATATAGAAAGAATAACAACATACAATGATAAAATCTTAAATTGGAATCAAATAAAATACCAAAAATGTCAAGAGAAAAAGTCCATCAGGTCATAGCAAAAATATGTAAACATGGAGGGATTTTCCAAAAACACAAAACATTCAAAAAGAATTCTACAGTAATGGCTCTATTATTAATCATAAATACAAATATAAATTATTATCTAAACAATATTATACTTGTTACTCATGCGACAATAACACAAAGTGTTTCCGATTCTGGAAAAATGCTCCAATTCCGATTCAAATTGCACCCTTCCAGTTCAGATGAGCATATCAACCGCTTGAGAATTAAATTCGATATGGATGCTGCCATAATTGAGTATCAGCTTAAACAACATAATACAATTCAGGAAGAAACAGATCAAAAATGGTAAAAAAGTAGAAACTATGACAAAATACAAATATTAACATTTTTAAATGGGATTAAACGGACCACCAAAATGTAGAACAGAAAGAGTCAATGAGAACATATTACAAATGTATACATGGAGGGATTTCGCCGAACAAAGCCTTCCAAAAAGGATTCTACATAGAACAACCCATATTAGACAGTTTGGCAAACATTCCTCCTAATGGAGACGACCCAAAACATCATTAAGGCCTTTATGAAAAGCCTAAAAAAGTGCACTTGCAGACTGTCGATAAATCGACACGAGTTGTTCAAAAAACTTGACTTAAATAGGATTAAAAATTACCTCATGATTATGCCACCGTCTTGAGTCGGTTTATAGGCTGGTAATATGCCGAAAGAGTAAAGGATAACTAAACCGACGGTACAACTCAGTATCTTTCTCGCAGACCTGCAGTCCACTGCAAAAATTCGAACAAGTTAAGAATGCTGTTTGATTGTTCAACTCAGTATGCCAAGATATCTTTAAACAAGGATCGCTATCATGAACCTGATTTAACCAATGACCAATCATCAGATTTCAGTGACGACCAACCTGTCTTACATCGGACATCGAAGCTGTGTCCCACCTGATAATAATTACTTCATACGATTAAAGGGCTAATAGATATTCAAAGGCACCAAAAAATCGAGCCAGAGTTAAACAGGAGCAGCGATTTCATCACCATGCTGCATCAGAACTGCCTCAGAATATGACAGCAGTTTCTCCAAGTGCACTACAAGCAGCTATTGATGATTTGTTGACAAATGTGGATACTATGGAAGAGGCCAACCTAATATGTTCATAAATCAAAAATATCTACAGCTCAAGTAGACTGTTGGCAGTACTGAAGGGATGGGGTTCATCCCCAGGGAAGATCGTATCAATATAAACATTATCGTCTGGGAGTCTTAAGTTAGTAAAAGAACTGCGGGATAGAACAGAACATTCCAACGGAAAAACTATGTATGAAGGTTCACGCATTCCAGAGCTATTTTGTTTTTTCTGTAGCATCTATCGTTGACCCAGCTGAGTTAATCACTTCAATGATATGAGAACCAAGATGATTTCGCTGTATACCTGTTGTCAAGTTTACATTTCAAACTAGCGATCCGGACAAGGGCATTTGGTACATAGGAACTTTCAACCTCACCTTCCTTGATCAGATCAAAAAGATTCATTTATATAATGAACATAACTATGATAATTTCACCGTTTTTCAATCGATCGATAGCAACGTAGAACTTCGTACGTACGTACGTACATCAGTTCAAGTTGCCACACCACATTTACACAGAGATGTGATTATCAATTCGAATCCCATAGTAGTAGAGGTAGTAAAGTTACTAGCAGTAATCGGAGAGATTAGGATTCGAAGATATTATTCAAGCTCAAATATGTAATCTGTTACAGGTTTTCAAGTGACAGGGAATAAAGTTTCGAGAGCTCTAACTGTTCGCTTCAGTGGCGCGAGGTGATAAACGGCTGAAGGGAGAGTTAGTCGAGGGGATAAGAGAGTTATGAGGAGGTTTAGAAAAGATTTGATTGTGACCAATTTGGTCTCGTGTGCTTTTACGGGTATGAGGGCGGATGTAATTTCCCGGCTACCCTCACTGTTGAAGGGTTCTTGTTGTCAGAAGGGGCGTAGGCCTCATGACTTCCGAAGGAACTCAGCTTTCGTCATGAGACGTCATAACTCTTCTAACTGAAGACCTTCTAACTTCCAGAGCAGAGTTTGTATGGTTTGAATTATTATTTCTTGTTAGCGTTTTTTGGCAAGTAAGTTTTTTCTGGGAAGGGGTCGCCAGCCCCAATCCTAACCCTTCTTGTATAACCGGGCTTGGGACCGGCAGTAGCCTCGAGGGGTCTACAGGCTGAGTCAACTTCTTTATGTCCTCCTGTATTTTAATTCCGATAATACAATTTTCCAATTGCACAGTATTCTTGAGAGGTAACCATTGTAACCTACAACCAGAGGCAGGCCGTTAACGGAAATTAAAATGCGAAAAAAATATATTTTAACCATTTTTGAAGTCGTAAAGTATTCATTATCATTTAAGTGACATAAAGGGGCCAGTAAATTTGGTTTTCTAGAGATGTAGTACTTCAAACACTAAACTAAGATGTAATGATAGTGTAGTAACGAGAATTTAAGAAAATATCTATAGGTTCTGGATTGATTCGTAAATAAATAAACAAAGTACATCGAGAATATCATTATATGTTCAGGAGTGCTTGAAATGCGATTTACCGCTTCTGAGTAAATTTGGAATTATTCAAGCTGACGCACCAATGATATCGCGACTGCTTGACCTTCAAGTGCATGGCATCCTAAGGAACGGTGGTTGCTGCTAGTCCGTCTCTGTAAGCTCGTACATGTGAACGTTAATTGTCAGACTTTTTTTGACCATCTATATGTTTTCTCATACCACAATTTAGTGGTCAACAAAGAATTTTTAAACAGTTTTATTCATTTCTGTATTGCACTCAATAATTCAGTTAGCAATCTCAGAAACATCTAAACCTTTTTGGCAAGCGTCTAGACGCTTTGATTGGAAGTCGGTCTGCGATGTAAAATACATATGGGACAGCTTTCCTTGACTCGCATCATCTATCTCAAGTCTGAGATTCGTATCTGTGCTTTGAAAATGACACAGTCCTGCGTGGGACCTTCTCTGGTTTACTTCTCTCGTCTTACAGATAACTCAAACAGAATAACAGATATCAGTTCCTTCTGTAGTATGTCTCAAAAGCTTATCACTTAGTGCTGCGTCTTAATAAACCCGTTGCTTCTTCCTATTAACTTTCTCAACTTATATGACGGTTGGCACCCTAGATAGGCACATTTACTGTCTTACATAGTTTAAAAATCCAAACTTAGTTTACTTGCAGGTATACCAGTTGTTATTGTCATGATAACCGACTGATTAACCTAATAACTCATGTGAGACACATTTATGTTCTAGGCGATATTTGACGTCAAATAAGATATTACCAACATATTAGTTTCTAGATGACAGTATGTATCCAAACTCTTGGGGAATATAGTGTTATACGTGCTTCTAACGCAATTGCGGTCTGTTGGTGACTGTAACAAAGTCTTTTACAGCTCATAGTAATTTTTATTTCATAAAGTACTAGTGTGTTACTACCCAAGTAATGCCATTGGGCGTTCTACTTTATCTCAATTCACTATATCGTAAACTTTGCGATCAATTAACTGATGCTTTCTTACTGAAAGGTTTACTAATGACATTTCAGGGGTTAATTGCGTGTTTCTCAACTAGATATTAGGTGGTAGCCTGTCAGTAGCGATAATACACCCCTTTGCCAAATGAAGATGTTTTCTTTTAGTGTCTGCCAGTGTCTTTTGATATGAACTGCCTTTTAAATATTTTTAGCATAGAAATACCGATTAAATTCTAACTAACTGATAGTTGCAAGCGATATGTTGCTCACTAGTAAATGTTGACAGAAGTGTAACAATAAACTTTATTCACTTGGTTTGATACTAGGAATTGATCGAACCTTCAAAAAGATTGGATATAGATTATCCGTGATATGTCCGTTTTAAACTAATATTCCGCAACTCCGACCACGAACATACAAAATACTACTCCCCTTACCCACTAATTACAGTAAAAAGACAAGTTTAGTAATGTGAGCTTTGTTAATAATGACCCCACCACAATAGAAGCCAAATTTACGTTAATCGATTAAAAATCATTTACAATGATTACAATTTATGAAATAAGTGTTTGTCGCTAAACACAAACCATAATTAAGAAAAGTAGATTACACGTTCACGAGCGCAGTCCACACAAAATAATTTAATGTGATGGGAATCCATTTGGATTTTCACTGACTTTTACACTCGTTCTATTTGACGATTATACATCCCGAACAAAGCGGTAGATTCCTAACAGCCTAGTTTTGTGCCAAGTTAGACACCAGCGTTCTTATCAACCCAATTATAAACGAATCCGATCCTGATACATATTTGCACTGGTACATGTTCCTAAAACATCAACTGAGAACGAAATTATTAGGCAGTTGGTATTATTTGTTTAAGCGCCTATCGTATTAACTCGTTTTTGCTCAATTATAAAAATTTCCACTGTGTTTCCCTTTGAATGGTAAGTGTTATTGATTCAAATATCAGCAAACTTTTCGACGACCATTGAAGTACTAGCATTATTATGTCTCCTGTTTGAAATTGAGAGAGAGACAGCTTGAGCTACATTTAAAAAACATCTTCATTCTTCGAAGAATTTGATGGTTGCATAATAGTCAAATCAGTCATAGTAATGCTCGTAATTATCATCAAGCTGGCTGATGGATAAAAGTACAATCACTTGTGACTAATTATATGCTTAATTGATGTACTAACTCGCCATTATGAATAAATCATAAATATGTATGAGTTGGAAATGTGCTGTACTAGACACAACTTTGTCTTTTAAATATCTGAGTCATTACATACTAAACCCATTTAAGAATATTAAGATAAGGAGTTTTCGAGCTTACGTAGTCTGTTTACTCACAGTTGTTCACTTACTAGAATAAAAGTTCAGTAGCACTGTGACTTCAACTAATTATTCTGAGTCTGTGAGAGTTGCGTCACAGAACTGAGTCACATTTAGTATTGTGTTATTATTTTGGGTTTTTATGCACGTGCTTCTCATGAATTTCGATGTTTGCTGTTTCTGCTTAACGTCATTAGATTGTCCATTGTTTTTGTTTTTTCACTTTTCAGACCTGTAATCAGTATAAACATACAGTTTATCGTGGATTTAATTATAACAAAAATGGGTCAACCTGTTGTGTTATTCACAATGTATGGCTGTAATGTGACTTTATTCCTCGCTGTATTTGTGTTTTTGTGGTGTATGTATATTTGGGAAACATACTTGAGTATTCGTCAGAGAAGGAAAATTGTTGATACAAGGACAGTGCCTACTAAATTAGCAAGTGTTATGGATGATGAAAAATTTCAAAAGTCACGTCTTTACGCCATTGATCGATCAAGCTTTGGCCTAGTTAGTGGGTTATATCATATGATAGAGTTATCAGTAACTTTATATTTTTCATTGTTACCATGGTTGTGGTATACAGTTGTTAATCACAGCATTATCTTGAACGCTTATGTGCTAAACAAATTCGGTGTTGATATCGGCCTTGGAAATGATAGTGAAATAAAATGTTCTATCATTTTCTTCCTGTATGTCGCTGTATTTGTATTTTTTGACTCGCTCCCTTGGACAATTTATAGCACATTCGTTATTGAAGCACGCCATGGCTTTAACAAGCAAACTTTCGGTTTTTTCATTAAAGACCAAATCAAGTCGTTTTTTATTTCAATTATTATAGGCATTCCAATAATGTCTTGCCTAGTTTGGATAATCAAAGTTGGTGGACAATATTTCTACTTGTATGCCTTTTCATTTACAGTCGTGGTCACTGTGTTTCTAATGTTTGTGTATCCAGAGTTCATTGCTCCATTGTTTGATCGTTACGAACCCTTACCTGATGGATCTTTAAAGACAAAAATTGAAACATTAGCTGCGTCTATCAAGTTTCCTTTGAAAAAATTATTAGTCGTCGAAGGATCGAGGCGTTCTGCCCATAGTAATGCATACTTTTATGGTTTTGGTAAGAACAAAAGAATTGTAATTTTTGATACGCTTATTCGTGGTTTTAAATTCCCAAATAAGAATGAAGACCCAACTAAGCAGGAAACTGATAATGACTCTGATCAACGGGGCTGTGCAATTGATGAAGAAATATTATCAGTAATCGCTCATGAATTAGGACATTGGAAATTAGGACATACAATCTATAATCTTTTCATTGGCAAAGCAAATCTCTTAATGTTGTTCGTAATATTTGGCCTTCTTATGGATGTGGATGATTTGTTTGTATCGTTTGGTTTTAAAAGCAATGATACTCCAGTAATATTGCGGCTGTTTATTATCTTTCAGTACATTTTCTCTCCGTATAATACAGTCATTGACTTTCTAATGACAGTCTTATCTAGGAAGTTTGAATTTCAGGCAGATGCTTTTGCTGCTAAATTGGGTTATAATAATTATTTAAAGTCAGCTTTGGTAATTCTGTTAAAAGACAATTTATCTTTTCCTGTGTGTGATTGGTTGTATTCAATGTTTAACCATTCCCACCCCCCACTTCTTGAGCGTTTAAATGCAATTGAAAAGTGTAAATCTGACTAAATTATGTTATATTTCCATTTAAATGTATTTTTTGATCTATATCAATTGACTATTGTTTGGCATTCACCTTTTGTTATCCACTTCCACAAATTTTTCTCTGTGTTTGTAAGTAAGATGTTTTTTCAATATATATAAATCTACTTTAAAAACCAGACTGTATTTATAATTAGTGTAATATGATATGGTTGGCGAATCTTGTTTTGCTATAACATCTGTATGTTATGACGTTCTGCAATGTAATATGAATCCAAGGAAATTATATATTTAGGTCCTTACTTGCAAAGAAATCTCAATATTAATACTCACAAAAGTCAGCTGTTGAAATCTTAGTCGGATTCAGTTCCCAATCCATGTAACCGGTTTCTTAATCACTGTTAAATGTACTCAGAAATTCACCTAGTCTGGTTACATAGTGTCAGTAAACCCACCGGCTCAGACCTGTCCAAAATATGCCTGGTGATAGTCAGTCAGTTAGTTACAACGTAGAACTTCGTACGTAAGTACATCAGTTCATATTGACGTACCACATTAGTACAGAGATATAATTGTCAATTTAAATCCAATATTAGTAGACGTAGTAAAGGTATTAGCAGTAGTCGGAGAGATTAGGGTTAGAAGATGTTATTCAAGAAGTAGAATCTAGTGAAATAATCTTAAAAAGATAAAAATAATGTGACGAAGAATTAAAAAGTTTAGGATTTGAGAGAATGAATGAATGAATGCACCGGCGCGATTGCAAACGGTTTTGAGCCATGTCATTCAGGGTCTCTAACCATCGATTATTATCATCTCGCGGGCCCCAACCAGGTAGTCGACACCTACCGACATGACTCAGTCCATATGTCAATGACTTCATGGATTTCTGCCATGTTTTGGTCTGGCCGCCCCTAGCTTTCTTCCAACCTATTCCTACACTACAAAACAAAGCTCGTCGAGGCAGTCGGCGGTTAGACATATACAGCACATGTCCCAACCACCTCAACTGATGAAGTTTCATTACTTCATCTACTAACCTGCCATCCTTACGTAGTACCCGTTTCCTAACAAGAGCACTGCTTACTGGGTTGTCCCACGATACACCTATGATCAAAAACCAGTAACCTACGAATATTACTGTGACTGACTATGTTTCGCATCCATATAGTAGGACGGAGCGAACTACTGCACATTACACTCGTTCTCTAGTCAGCAAACGGATATCTCGTCTACGCCATAAGTGATGCAGGTTAGCAAGAGCCGATTGAGCCTTCTATATCCGTGCTGAGATTTCGTCACATACCAGGCCATCAGCACTGATGAGCTTACCAAGATAAGTCAAGTGGTCTACACGTTCTACTACTTCACTCCCTATCACTAGTTCAGGTGCCGACACCAGCCAATCCTGAAGCGACATTTTGCATTTGGAGGGTGAGAATTGCATCCCGAACATGCTTGCACTGTTACTTAGGGTAGTCAGGAGATACCGCATTTTGTCGGTGTGCTCATTAAGTAGAACTATGTCATCGGCATATCCTAAGTTAGCAAGCGTGTCTCCTAGTAGAAGGTCTACTCCTGAAAATTTAGACGAAGATAATGTTAACTCTAAAAGGATGTCTACGACAAAGTTACACAAGAATGGTGAGAGTGGATATCCCTGACGGACGCCACTTGTGGTAGGGAATTCCAATGAGAGTTCGCCATATGCTCTCACTCGACCAGTGGTGTTTGAGTAGAGAGCTTGTATAAGGTTAATGTACTTCTTTGGTACACCTTTCAATGACAGACACTGCCACAGAACCTCACTATCCACCTGGTCAAATGCCACCTTAAGGTCCAGGGAGACGACTACTGTAGGACGCCTAAATGTGTGTTTGTGTTCCAGGACCTGTCGGAGCGTGAAAATGTGGTCTATACAGCCACGTCCAGGTCGAAAACCAGATTGGTTTTCTCGAGTCTGCTCTTCATGAGCTCTAGTTAGTCATCTAAGGATTCTACATAAGATCTCATTTAATCTTACTGCTAAAACTGGATCACCATCCTTAAAAATCTCAGGGGTCAATCTATCAGGTCCCGCTGCTCTCCCCCGCTTCAGATTTCCTATAGCTTTCTCAACTTCACAAAGAGTCGGAGAACTTATATCGATTTGCCATACAGGATGACTGGAGATCGTGGGCAACCAAGGTATGGCTGAAGGCTGTTCGAACTAATCCCTGAAGTGTTTGCTGACAGTCGGATTCCTAATACTGGTTTCTTTGATGAGTCTGAATAGTTGCCTACTGTTGCCTATCGCCGCTGCATTTTCCATATCTCTCGCTTTCGCTACCTGACACTGTGTACGATCATTGTGTAGTCTTTTTATCAACCTGCGCTTACACTGACTTTGCTCCTCATCGCACATTTAGATCCAGGCGTGATGAGCTTTCGAGCATCCATCAGTTCGGTAGATTCTACTGAAATACACTGCTTCTCCCTAACCTTAGGGTTTATTTTACTAGCAGATATCACTGCTGTTTCCACAGCAGCTACTCAAGGTCTTAGGGCGAAGTCGTACCGTTGACTGTAGAGGGGTGTGACAGAAGTAAGCTGTTTCTCTCGGACAACCAGCATCTGTAGCGGTGCTGCCCCACAACGGGAAAAGGGGCTAGAAAAGGTTGACCCTAAAAATCTCACACCTCACGCTATCCTCTGGATCGTCGTCTCTTGCAGTAAGGTCTTTTGAAGAGAGGAGCTAACATTTTAAAAGCGTCCCATAAGAAGGCCGTGCGCGACCGAATTCAAGCAGTTGTTTCTTGGGCTTTGCAGTCACGCTCCCAACTTCTCTTTCAGATTCTTCAAGAAATGTTCTTCCACGGTATGGGAAACTGGGAGGTGAAAACCACCCTCATACATCCAACAACACACAATCGTCCTCCTACCTCTCAATAACTACCTTGTCTCTCTTCTCGTATGCCTTTACCACCTGGAGTCGCTAATGCTAACAATTTTATTTTTACTTTCCTGAAACCCCGCTTCAAACTACATGCTGGAGCATTTAATATTCAAATGTTGTGCCAAGTAGAACAACAGGCTTCCTTAGCTAGGACTCGAGAATCTCATGTCATCAATATATGCTGCATCTCCAAAACTGGCATTCAGGATCCAGGTAGTCATTCATCTAACCTCACCTTGTCAGCCTAAGGAACCGTCGCAATTTACGTTTCGTATATGTGGAAGCCCCAATGTTGCCTTCCGTGCCTTTGCTGGTGTAGGTATTGAACTGAATTCTCTTAGACTGGACCCTCGTAGGTATTCGCTTATGCTCTGTCCGACTAAATGAAACAGTAGGGACTCGGAAAGATAAGGACACTCGCCGTTAACCCCTCGTTGTCTCTGCCTACGCCCCCACTGACTGCTGCTCAGATGAATTTTATGAGAAACTTTCGGACCTCCAAAAAGTTAGGCGCTCTGATGTAGTGATAGTGGCTGGTAACTTCAACGCTCAAGTAGGTAGATTAAGCAAAGCAGAAAGACACCTGGCTGGATTTTATAGTGTGGTTCAAAGGACAGATAATAGCGCCCGTCTACTGTAACTATTGAATTATTTTTTCTGGTTAGCGTTTTTTTGGCAAGTTAGTTTTCGACGGAATGGGGTCGCCAACCCCATGTCCAACCCTCCTCCTTTACCCGGGCTTGGCACCGGCAGTAGCCCCGAAGGTTCTACTGGTTCTACTGTAACTATGCTCAGATAATCGCCTGTATCTAGTAAATACTAACTTTAGTCATAAGGAAAAACACCTTTTAACATGGTAACACCCGGAAATTGACCGAATGCTGAACCCAACTAGACCACATTGCCATCAGCCACCGATAGATACGCTCGATCGAAGACTGCCGCTCATTCTGGAACACAGGTTTTGACTCGGATCATACTCTAGTTCGAGAGCGTATTTGTTGGTGTCTGAGTGAACGTAAGAAAGACAGCAAGTAAACCCCTTAAAGTTCTGCTAAACGATAGCAAATCTCAGAGTATATATCAGGTACAACTAGAAAAACAGTTAGGTAGCCATACAAGTGATGCCGATCCTGATGCAACTTGAAGTGATGTACAAGAAGCTGTGGAAACAGCAGCGATATCTGCAAGTAACGTAAATCATAAGGTTAGGTAGAAGCAGTGGGTTTCAGTAGCATCTACCACCTAACTGGTAGATGCTCGGGAACTCATCCCAGCTGGCTTCAAACTAGATAAGGAGCGAAATCAGCTTCAGGACAGGCTGGTAAGAAGCCTACGCAATGACCACGAACAGTAGTGAGTGGCAAAAGAAGGAGATGGAAAAGGCAGTGATGCTGGGTAACAGTAGGCAACTGTTCAGACTTATCAAGGAAACTAGTATTAGGAGTCCGACTGTTCACACAACAAACTAGCTTATTATTCATTCTCAATCTCGGAGCTTGGATCGATGGGCAGAATACTTTAGGGAGCAGTTTAACTGGCCTTCAGCTACATTGCGGTTGCCCACGATCTCAAGTCATCCTGAATGGCGAATTGGTATAAGTCCTCCGACTTAGCGAAGTTGGACAGGCTATAGGTAATCTAAGGCGAAGGAGAGCAGTGCGTCCTGATAGATTGACCCCTGAGATTTCCAAGGATGGTGGTCCAGTTTTAGTAGTTAGATTGACCGAGATCTTAGGTAGAATGTGGGAACTGGACGTAATCCCATCTGACTGGTCTCAATCCATAATTGCCACAATTTATGAGAAAGGACGAGAGTCTTCTGATAATCACAGAGAAATCAGTTTAACTAATATAGTGTCTAAGATACTAGCTTCACTAATATTTCGACGCCTAACTAAAACTCATGAAGTGCAGACTCGAGAAAACCAGGTTGGTCTCAGACTTGGACGTGGATGTATAGACCGTATATTCACAGCTTGACTTTCTTGAATATTATGATGCTTACTGATTGGTGAATCGACCGTACATATTAATTAAAAGAGGTCATAGAAAGATTGCTCGTTGACTAAAGATTATTAATTTGATAAACATATTTTCTAGATGTCAGCTTAGACATATGCAGTTATAGTCATAGGTTACCAACACTGATTACTGGGATTTTTCTTTTATACCATTGGATTAAAACTTTCAATTCTTAATGAAGTCAATATACTTGGATCTTAATGACCAGTTTTTCAACTGTTGTTCTTTTATTTATCATTAAAAGATACCATTTGTCTATCATTGTAGAAAGAATAAAACAGAAATATTCAATCATTAAACTTCAAACAACTTTAAAATAAATTTGAAGTATTAAGATTATCGAATTTTCATATTTGTAGAGATATTCATTCTATTGAGATTTCACAATCACACACGATTGAACGCAACACTGCTCTTTGGACACATGGTGTGATTAAGTCATGTAATTAAAATCCAGTAATCTATATTTGTAATAGGATTAGTTGTATTTCTTTTGGAATTCCCTATATAACCGATGATTGAATTTGAAGGCGTAAAAAGGGGTGAAGATTAGTGCAAACATCGAGTTGAGAGAATCTATAAATACAACTAAATACGGTAAGGACTTAAGTAGATCCTTTGGTCGCTTACAATTAAAATGGTATTCCACTTCATTTTTAGTACCATTTCACATTAAGATGTTAGAGTCATTTCCAATTTATTGAATTGACTGCTTACTGACATATTACAGCCATGAAATTCAATTATAGAGTTTTAGTTATTATTGTGAGTAAAAAGCTATCAACGTTTTAGTCATATTAGATTTGTAGCATGTATTATGGATTACTTGTTATGAAAACAGTTCAGAGGACATTATCTATATCACTCTTATCTTGTGTCCATTGCATTCAATGTTGCATTCATCTTGATTGGTACATTAACTCCTTCTGGAGCCTTTCTGAAATTACTGCCGGTCCTAAGCCTAGGGTAAAGGAGGAGAGTTGGGCATGGGGTTAGCGAACTCATCCCATAGAAGTAAAGCTCGTTAAAGAAACACTAACCTGAAAAGATAATTCGCTTGTTGGCGGTCTATGTTCCCTTAGAGGTAACAAAGGTAAGTAAGTAAGTAAGTAAGTAAGTAAGTAAGTAAGTAAGATTGGTACAATAATGTTGGTTGACCCAGAAATAGTAGTCCTTTTTTTTCAAGTCATTGGAGTTTTGTTTTTGAGTGTGTAGTAAACTGTATAAGCATCACAAAAGCTCTATTTTTCTTTATTCAAGTAAAATACCGTGCTTAGATATTCATTGCAATAAAATGTGTATTGGTTCATAAAATGTAATAATGCAGTTCGCCCCGTCCTACTATATGGATGCGAAACATGGCCGTTAAGAGTAGAAGATGTTCGTAGGTTACTAGTATTCGATCATAGATGTTTAAGAAGCATTGCTCGTATACGGTGGGACAACCGAGTAAGCAATGCTGTCGTTAGGAAACGAGTACTAGATAAGGATGGCAGATCAATAAATGAAGTGGTGAAACTTCATCAGTTGAGGTGGTTGGGACATGTGCTGTGTATGTCTAACCACCGATTGCCTCGACGAGCTTTGTTTTGTAGTGTAGGGATAGGTTGGACGACAGCTAGGGGCGGCCAGACCAAAACATGGAACAAATCCATGAAGTCACTGACAAGTGGACTGAGTCATGTTGGTAGATGTAGGCTATCTGGTTGGGGTCCGCGAGACGATAGTCACCAATGGTTAGAGACCTTGAATGACATGGCTCAAAATCGTTTGCAATGGCGCAAGTGCATCCATTCGTTGTGCTCTCTCAAATCCTAATCTTCTGGATTCGTCAGCACCTCTACCTTTGTCTTTCTAACCTTATCTCACTGAATTATACCTCTTGAATAATATCTTCAAACCCTAGTCTTCTTCATTACCATTAATACCTCTACTATCTCTATCACTTGGGATTTGATTTGACATTTGCGTCTCTGTGCTAATGTGGTATGGCAACATGAACTTATGTACATACGTATGAAGTTCCATGTTGCAACTAACTGACTGAATAATGCAAGTTACCAAGTGTAAATTCGTGTACTCGACATTAAGCTACACTTTATGTGTAAGAGTAAATAATTACCACCCAAGCACTGAAAATGAAATAGATAAGATGAAATAATTATGAGAAGTCAAATACCCTAACCATATAGACACCATTCTAAGTAGATAATACTCATTTACTATAGTTAAACAACCAGTAACTTCATATTTCCTTCGATCAAAGTTAATTTATGTTTTTCAGAAAGAAGTATGTCTTATTATTATTATTTTTTTTATTATTTAAGAATGAACATCAACAATATAAGCACAAGAGAGAAAGCACAGATAAATTTTAATTCACAAACAATACAAAGCTGAATACTTCTAACATTCATAATCTAGAAAGTAATTCCGTTAGATCTAAATTTTTATATATAATAAAAAAAAATTTTTTTTTTACATTTCTTCTTATTATTACACTTAGAAATCAGACTAAACATTGAATAAATTTAATGTAGTTGTCTCCTGAATAATTGCTAATTTTTTTTTCAAATAATCATACATATTATACTCTTGTTTGAAGAACAATTTAAAAATTAAAATTTTAACTTAATAGAAAAATATACAAAAAAACGGAAGTTATCTTTTGTTTAAAATGTCAACTATAAAAAAGATAAAATGAAATGTTTGTCACAAAATACATTTTTTTTCTTCATTTTTTCATAAACAATGATGGTGTGTATATATATTTTTCAAACAAATATCATTACAATTCACAGATTTCATAGTATAATGATCGTTAGTATTATTTATCACTGTTTAGATAAAAAAAAAGAAGCTTATCTATGATGAGTTTCATACTGATAGTGAAATATATATATATAATATCATAAATGTTTTATAATTTATTCGGATGTGTTGTAAGTTTACGCCCCTATTGACGAATTATTCTTCAGCTTGTTTTATCGATTGACATATGTGTGTGTGTGCATGTGTTGTTCATCGTTTCGTATGTTTTGTTTGTGTGATGGTTGTTATTAACTCATATCATTATAACAATGAAACTTTTGTACAAGTAGTACACTGCTTCTGACGTTTATATTGTTTGTTTATATGCTGTCAGTAGTAAACATAAGAAAAACAGATAGATTAAATAATAATAATAATAATGGTAAATAATTTTCATAATTGTGTTGATAATAAGTTTGAAATTTCATTGATAACATGAAATTTATTGTTATTTTAGTTTGTTGCATTTTTTTTAAATATGATTTTTGAAAAATCCGCTATCAGGATGTGATTGACATATTTTAGATTTGTTTTTTTTTTTTTTAAAACTATAATAAATATTTATGCAGGTTAGTTGTTATCTTTAAAATTAAACAGTCTTATGAATTTTTCGACTAGAGAATATGAAATTAAACGATAATCATTTGGTTGTGTTATTTTATAGATTCACATATGAAACCATGAATCGATCAGTGTTAGACAATCGTTAAAAACCTGGAAGTACTGGATGGCTGTTTGGGCCTGGTATGAGACTCTTTAGCAGTGCGCATTCACGATTCCTGCACCTCGCAGGATTTGAACTCAGGACTTTCGGTATTGTGCGCGAATGACTAACCTCTGGTCTACTGAGCCGGTATCTAACGGTGTTAATGTCTAACTTCGATCAATTCACAGAGTTGCGCAACCTCATACACAGTGTTCGGTAGTTACTGTCTACACTCGAACAGGTTGAACTTCACTGATCACGACTTCCCACTAGAACTTGGAGAAGATTCCTCAAGGAGTTAGTCACTAGTGAGCACAGGTAATTGTATGAGACGGAGTTGTGAAGATTGTTACGTTACACTCAAAACTGAAGGTCCTCGGTCCGAATCCTGTGGAGTGCAGGATTCGTGGATACGCACTGCTGATGAGTTCCATAGCAGGACGGAACGGCCGTCCAGTGCTTCCAGGTTTCTAATGGTGGTCTAACATTGATCGATTCATGGTTTCAAAAATGTGTAACTTAACAATCTCCACAACCCCGTAATGTATTATAGATTTATATTTAGAAATGTTGCTTGGTCAGTAGTAGTATACTCAAGTGTATTAAATTCAAGCCTTAGTACTTTTAGCAAATGTACATTTCTCATGTTTGCTGTTGAATATAGAGATTTTCTAGTGAATGAAACGTATGCTATAAACATAAAAGTAAGTTTTTTTCGTTAAATGAGTGTTTCTTCTCAGTAATAGAGATAATAATAATCATAACATGTCTACTTATTGCTTAATGCTAATCAAACTTTATCGATAATAGTAATAATGTGATTATAAAGAATAGAACAACTATTTACTACGACGATTTAATTTGTTTATTGTTCAATAAGTGAGAGCAAAACGTGTAAGGAACAGCATCTGAATTAGATTTTCTACCTGTTATGAATCATTAGTTAATTATACTTGCAACTCTGAAGAAAAAATTCCTCAATTTAGAGATATTTATACCAGAAATATTTAGCGTTCATATGAACAGCAATAATATCAGCCATGTGAACTGAATTTGGCTAGTTAAAATATTGATAAATATCAATCCATCAGGTTCCTGGCAATCAGCTACACTACGTGCAAGGACCAATGATACTTTCGGGTAGAGTTTTGGAGGTTTGTATTTTTACACATTTGAAATCATCAATCAATCATTGTTAGACCGCCACCATCAGAAACCTGGAAGCACTGGACGGCCGTTTCGTCCTGGTATGGGACTCATCAGCAGTGTGCATCCACGACTCCTGCACCTCGTAGGATTCGAACCTGGGACCTCCCGTATTGTGCGCGAACACCAAACCAATGATACTGTCTGTTTGCTCAAGTCGAAGCAGGTGGACGGGATTCGAACCTAGAAACTGCATAGATGAAGGTCGAACGCTTTAACCACCACGCTACTGTTGATAATCAACCAATAAGTAGTAATCGAAGTAATATTATTTGGTTTTTAGTATTGACCAGAGGTATAGTGTTTGTAGCTGTAATATTAGAGTAAATAGTTGTGAATGAGAAATAAAGTGTCCAGCTAGTGAAGCTCCTGATATGGAATTCGAATCAGAATAAAGCTTTCTATTTATTTAAGGTTGGAGTTTGTGGTTTACAGACCTAAAAAATGTGATCGTTATTGAGCGGTATTGTAAAGATGCGTAAACTCACTCAACCCGTTAATACTCATGACACATTTGTGCACACTGTAAACGATGCTTATAGTATTTTATTTTCCAAAGGCTTAAAATTAATCAACATCAATCTATTCATATTTTAGTCATTTTGTATGTTTTCACTGTGAAGTCTTGCTTAAAACACAACATTATTGATCATGATGAGTTTTTATTATATACTCTCATTTTATTATCTTCATATCAAAGCAAGAACGCGAAAAAAACGACAATGGCATGCTCAAGTAATGAAAGATTTCACTAATAAAATGTGTACACTTTTGTTTCTTTATATTATGAAATCGCTCGGTATGAATACATTATTATAATGACAAAGAGCTGATTCGCATGCAATAAACCAGTTAGTGTTATATCGATGAAAGACTTGTTATCAATCATTGTATACATATCACATTTAACCTTGTAATTAACTGTTTGTAGATGATAAATAGTCCATTATTAGTAAGCAGTTATATCAAGTATAAGCTGTTTAATTATTGTGTAAGTAAGTGTAGATCAATTGTGTTCATATTCCTTCCAATCAATTTGACATTGAATACTATGTACATACATATAAATTAGTTTTACTTCAATGTGGTTTTTTTTACCATGGACAACTTACGGGTTAACCATTTTTTAGGTGATTGTATAAATTTTTTAGAAGTTTTAATTTTCTCACAATATAAACTGCCATTTGTTGTTGATTCAGTCATTATTGCTGGTGTCTTAGACATTTCCAGTGTATTTATAACTGATGATGATGATGTTGTTGGTGTTGTTGTTGTTGTTGTTGAAGTACTTAAATAATTATCATTATTTTCTTTCAAATTTAATTTCATCTCATGTATATGAACGTCAGTGTCGCATGTGTAACCATTTTGTGTAGATTGTAAATTATTTGCATTGTTTATGTCATTAATGTCTGTTGTTAATTTTGACTTCATCATTGTCATGTGACCATTTAAATGGTTATTTAGATCAATTCTAGCATCGTGATCCGAACTAGATTGATCATTGAACGTTAAATATTCATTGTGTAATTCTTTTTCTTGTTTGATACAATTCTTTAATAGATCCATTTTCATATTAGCAGTTGTGGTGGAATTATTATTATTATTATTATTTGAATTGTTTAAAATATGATTATTTTCACATAATGGTTGTGTACCGTTCATCAATCCTTTATCATTGAAACAAGAACTATTCTTATCATGTAATCCATTGAATAATACTGATTGATCTCTTTCTTTTAATTTTGTTGTTGTTGAATTGATTTGATTAATCACTTTGCATTGTTGACTTATTATTGATTGATTGAATAAATTCAAATAGTCTTTGTGTTTTGGATCAGTTGAAATGGAATTCAATGGTATGTCATTTGTAGACTTGAATTCTATGGTTTCATTGATTTTGCCTGGATTTGCATCGATCGCATGCTCTTGTGATTGATTGAGATTTAACAATTTCTGATTTGTTTCGATGATTTTCTGTTTTTTACTATTTAATCCATTTGAATGTAATGAAGATTTCACGATTGAATTCGAGGATAATTTTGTCGACACCGATGATAACGATGACGAGGATGATGATGATGCTGATGCTGTTGTTGTGAATGTAGTTGGTGATTTATTTAATAATGGCGATTTTATAAAATGTTTAGTAGTTTTCTCTGTATTGTGTAATGATCTCATGTCATTACTTAATAATGGATAGGATTTTCTAGTTTCCTTAGATTGTCGACTTGATTTTAATGGAGTTCGATTCATGACATGTTTATTGATATTAGCAGCTTTAGAAATGGAATCACTCTGTAATTCTGATTTTGATCTAGTAACAACAGACTGTTTATTAGGCGAATATTTCTGAGGAGGAGCAGGAGTAGATTTTATCAATGATTTATTTATTGGTAATTTTTGATTGACCATTTCATTCAACTGATCATTTGATTGATTGATATTAATATTGCTATGACTGTTGGATATTGAACGAAAAGGTTGTGGAATTCTAGAATGAATTAATCCTTGTTTATCTGAACAAGATGAAATTGAACAATTATCTAGATGTGATGAATCATTTTCTTTTGAATACAATTTAACTTTACGAGCTGATTTTAAAGGTTTAACCTTGATTTCTTGTAAACCATTAGTCATTGAATCTGGAGTATGTTTATTAGATAGACTATTTCGGAAAATTGGTATTTTCGACTCACATGACATATTATCATCTGATTGTTTCAGCTTAAATTGTTCTTCATGATCTTTTTCATTTAATGAAGTAGTTGTCTCGATTGTTTCATCGCTTGGTACATTTATTTTTTCACTGTTCAACATTGTACTTCCTCCAATTGGCTCAGATTCGTCTTCTGTTAAATTATTGATTGATTTAACAAAATTAGACAAATAATCTGTGTGTAGCTCATTTGTATGCTGAACAGCCATATTTTCTTGTCCTAACTTACTCTTATCAGTTTGTATACATTCTACACTGTCATCATGTGTTTCATCCTGTTCCAATTCTTCTTTCACTAGTTCTAATAGTTGTGATGTTGAAAATTTCCCAGATAATTGATTCAAATTATTCATTTCATTGAAATCCAATGATTTGTTTCCACCTGTGGCATTGAACATTGAATGGCTTATTGTATCTTTTAGCTGATCAATAGTATTGTCTTGATCTTCCACTATTGATTGTTGTGATTCATGCATAAATTTATTGACATGATCAAAATGATCATAATGATTATGATGAAAATGAAATAGATTTTGAATACTTTTAGCTCTTGTCTGATTGAATAAAGGTGGTAGTTGAACATTTTTCATTGATGTTTCATTAACATCATCTCGATCAATCTCTTCATTTGAATCACTATCCACATCAAATACTAATTGATATGATGAAGCTCTGATTAATTTGTTTGTATTGTTTAAATTTTGTTTGTTGTTATTAGTTACAAAATTGTCTATATTATTATTACAATTATTATTATTATTATTATTATTATTATTATTATTATTATCATACGACTGGTTTGTAGATTCATTGTTAGAATAAATTAAATTTGTTGTATTGCACATAGAACCGGTATTCTCTGTTTTTAAATTCTGTAAATTTCTATCTTTCCATGCTTGTTTTCTATTCGCATGATTTTCTGTAATTGTATATTTCACATTGGAAATATCATCTTGTTTGGTTTTCGCTTTAATATCATTGAAACTATTGATTTTCATGTTATTATTATTATTATTATTATTATTATGGTTATTCTCAACATGATCATCAGTGTATGGATTTGAATGAATGGAATATTCTTCAGTGTCATTACATAAAACAGTAGCTAATAATTCATCCGATGTTAATCGACATTCAATAATTTTTGGATTCACTGACGGAATTTGTTGTAAAGCATGATTTGAATTGTATTTTTCAATTGCATTTAAATCACCAAATAATATAGTGGAAATGACAGAGTCACCATCAATTGTAAAGCCATTGATAGAACCGACAGGAACTAAATGTTCCGAGTTTGACAACACCATATCGTTTAGATAAACCTGAAAATGAAAGAAAAATTAAAGATAGGGAAAAAAAATTCCTCAACATTTTTTGCGAATATAACACTGGTGCCTATCTGTACATTTAAAAGAAAACTAAAATGAACACGCATCCCACTATTGTAGCAGTAACTTGAGCCTTTTTCTATGCACTGGTCATATGAGTACTGTAACTGTTATTATTATGCAGTCTGTTTTTTTAAGATGCAACTCACTGTTGTTATTCTGGTTAGCGTTTAACTTCATTTAGTATATTTGTGAAGATTAATTCTATTTGAAGATAGTTTTCTGGACTTTAATTTCATAATAATTGTAGAACTTTTGATGACTGAAAAAAATGTGGTCAACAGAAGTTTTTCTCTAAGTCTGAAGCTTTTTCAGCATTGTGCATACATTGACCTTGGCAGTTTTTGATTACTTGGTTAAATGATACAACACCACTTCACTTTTTTAGTGATACGATGAAATGTTGCAACACTCCATTTTATGAAATGCTAATAGATGTAAACGATTAACTATAAATATGATTGATTGTACAGTTCAAGGAAAATGATTTCTCAGTGAAAACAAATTTCCTCTGCTGAAACATCATCGTTTTTTTTTGATGACTCAATAGGTTTCTTTACTTGTGTAAGTTCAATTCTAAAACAGCAGAATTAAACTTTTCTACAAAACATTAAATATATTGAACAATTCTGTAGTTCTTAATATCAGACAAAGTTTTGTTTTTATTGACACAGAATGGTTCATTGATCAGTTTGTGTTAATCATTAGTCAGCTTATGCTAAAGAGTCTTCTCGTAGTGTTTTGATTCATGAGAATGAATACTCGAGGTATACAAAAAAAAACCTTCCTAATAATTCTACAAAGCTGGCAAATCTACTCGCCAGATCACCAACCTATGTACACTGCATATTCAACAATCTTCAAATTCACATTAAAAGTAATTCAAAGAAGATTCCTTCACTTCTACTGAAAAATAAGTAGTTGAATCAAGTGTTTTATCAATAAAAAAAATGTAACCACCCAACTTCATCGAACAAATTCATATACAAGCTTATTTAACAGAATACACTACAAATACCATATTTATTCATACCTAGTCATATACATGAGTTCACGAAAGCATGTTTCACACAAATTCACCTAATATTAAAAGTCTGACATTTACATGGTTAATTGTGTTTACATATGATCGAACATTTAATCCAACTTGATCACTGTACTATCTACAACTGTATTAACTTAGGAAATCATTTATTCTCAGTAGTAATAAATATTATGTCAAGAAATTCATTGGAATATAACAAGTAATAATACATGAGTACAAAAAGTTTCGTCACAAACAAGTGGTTTATCAACAAAAAAAGGGTTAAGCATTTCATCATTTTATAATTACCAATCCTAGTTTTATAAATGCTGGTTGCTACTGATGTACATTACGATTTTGATTAGTATATGAACTGTTTTCAAAATATCGGTGAGTATTTCTCTACTTAGTTCAGAATGATAAAAAGTCATCAGCTGACCATTTTTTTTTTACGTTTTCTTGTTCGTTTATCGAAATCACGTCTAATCGAATGAATTAATGTATTTCCGTGTAGTTTAAATGTAGGTGACTGATTTTTCATACTGTGATGTATAAAATAGACTGAAAAATTAGTTGACTATTAACTTAAGCTTTCTATTGATCATTAATTATAGAGGCTGTTATGTTCTCACTGTTGCCATATTGAAAATCGGACTGATCACCATCTTTTGACAAATAAATCGATCGTTATGTATCACCTGGATTTCCGAATTTATAATGTCTCTTCTCACGTGACAATGATCATCTAAATGTACTTCCATTCTGGAGAGCATTTTTAGCCACTATTCATATTAGGTAATTAATCATGAATTTCAAACTGACTGTGACATTTCATCACATCCTAAAAAGTAGTGACTATATGATTTATAGACGTTTAATTGTATAATATGATACATGTGTATGAACATACTAGTTATTGACTTGTTGATGCTCAGTGCTACTCATTTCAAAATATACAAATCTGACTTCTAATCTGGATGTAGATAGATCATATAAAAAGTGATGAATTTATATATCACTTTAATTTATTTCCAAATTTATATCAGCAGTCTTGGTGTTGTCAATATGCGTAGTGGGATTGAGCATTTTTCAGTATCAAGCTCAAGCCGGTATCCAGCAGATACAAGTGTGATATCATGAATGAGTCATTGTTATATAGCCATTATTTTATGTTCAACACATTTAATTTTTCTTTATAGAGTTATGGAGGTTGTTGATTATAGTTGAAATCAAGAATGAATCATTGTTAGACAACGATTAGAAGCCTGGAAGCATTGGGTGGCCGTTTCTTCCTGGTATGGGACTCATAAGCAGTGCGTATCCACGGCAGAAATTCATGAAGTCATTGACAAGTGGACTGAGTCATGTTGGTAGGTGCAGGCTACCTGGTTGGGGTCTGCGAGATGATAATAATCGATGGTTGGAGACCCTGAATGACATGGCTCAAAATCGTTTGCAATGGCGCAGGTGCATTCATTCATTGTGTTCTCTCAAATTCTAACCTCCTGAATTCCTCATCATCTCTATCTTTATCTTTCTAAAGTTATATCACTGAACTGTACTTCTTGAATAATATCTTCGATCCCTAATATTTTCCATTACCAGTAATTCTTCTGCCATCTCCACCACTATGGGACTTGAACTGACAGTGGCGTCTATGTGCTAATGCGGTATGGCAATCTGAACTGACGTACGTATGTACGTACGAAGTTCTGCGTTGTTATCTACAGACTGACTGCATCCACGGCTCCTGCCACTCACAGAATCCGAACCTAGGACCTTAAATCCTGAGCGTAAATGTGAAGTCGAGCGAAATCCTTGATCTTGATCAGAGTTAGACATTACTGCCGTTGGATGCCGACCCGGTGGCCCAGAGGTTAGGCGTCCACGCGCAAGACTGAAGGTCCTGGGTTCGGATTCTGCGAGTAACAAGATCTGTGGATGTGCACTGCTTATGAGTCCCATACCAGGAAGAAACGGCCGTTCAATGCTTTAAGGCTTCTAATGGTTGTCTAACAATGATTCATTCTTGATTTCACTGGTAAACAACAATCTCCATAACTCTATAATGAAAAATTAAATATGAAAATAAAAAACATATAACTAGTCGTAAACAGGAACACCTCTGAATAAGTTAATGGTTCTGTTAATTCAGTAGCTTAATAGATAAAATGGGCTCTTAGGATGAGGTGTGTGGGGTTATGAGTCTCATTGTGAACATTAACATTTGCAATACAAGTTAATACACATAAAGAGTTATACGTAGCGTTAAAAGCGAGTTTCGAACTTCACACATGGTTTATATTGAGTAGAAGAAGAACCAGTACTCATATCTAGGATATCATGTAAAGTAAAAGTTATTTCATGTAAAATAAAAATTGTATTCATCAACAACTAAAAACTTACAACATAATATTCCGTTTTAATTACAACTCGACAGACAAAATTTTCATTTGCACGAAAACCAAATCGTTTCGCTGAACTACCGTGTGATGATGTACTAGTTTCTGGTGAATTAGCATTAATATCCCAACTACCAGTTGTTTCAATTAATATTTGTAATGGTTGAGTTTCTACAATGGGCAATTCACATTCATCCATTTTATCATTATATTCATCAAGTATAGTTGGATCAAATGCTAAATAATCAGAGATTAAATCAATTGAAAATCTATTCAGTTAAAAGAAAAGAAAAAAAAGAAGAAAATATGTCAAGAACTACTATAAAATGTTAGTGTTATAAATAACATTCAATCGATTTATTCATGAATTGTGTTTTGTGTTGACTACTTCAATGAATGAATGAATGAATGAACATGGAAATTATCAGTATTTTGTGAAATACTGAAATGTAAGCTTTAAAAAGTACATAAAAGGAAAAAAGTTATTTTGAAAAATCAACTTTATAAAGATTTAATATAGCTTGAAGAGAATTTTTATAAGGAGATCGCATTGAGTGGCGAAATAAACGAAAACTACAAACATCCTTTATTTTTGAAGTTCTAATTTCTGACGGTGAACTATGTAGTTCATCAAGTTGATAGGTTTACAAGAACTCGTCACTGAGAATTAAGAATTCACAGCTGATATCGAAATACCAAACAGTGAATCTTAGTATTCAACCATAAAATCTAATTGTTTCTCGGGGTGAGAGTTGAAATCAACTTTTTTTGTGTGTGTGTAGTTGTTGATCGGAACGACAGAAAAATTTTAAACAGATCTAAAATAATTAGCTAGTACTTGCTGTTGCTATTTTGTTGAATATTTAAAGATGACAAAATTATTGTCTTAATGTTTTCATGTAACTTCGTCTGGAGCCCTTTCGGGGATTACTGCTGGTCTCAAGTATGGATAAAGCAGGAGGGTTGGGAATGCGATTAGTGAATCCATCCCGTAGAAGTCCAACTCGCTAAAAAAAGCGCTAACTAGAAATGATAATTCGCTGGTCAGTGACGTATCGTCCATTAAGGGTAACAAGCGTAAGTAAGTATTGATTTCATGTAGAAATAGATTACTTAGATTATATGATCACAGAATTTCATTCATTCAGCATTATTCAATAAAATTATTTTTATTATTTTATTTAATATTTGACAAATTTAAAACTATTGAACTGTTTGTTATTCATAAATATTAGCATTAGGTAAGAGGATTTGTATAAATATTATATTATATAAATGCAAAATTTTCATTATCAACCTATTGACAGTGTTGCTTTGATGAATATGTTCTAGACTGATAAATGTTTATTAGTAATTGTCTAATATCATAGATGATTTATGTGGTTAAATGTTTTTACTCCAGTCTTCAAGCTATTTTCATGATCTACTATTTTATTGAAAATGACCATTTAATCCAAACAAAATTAATGAATATTATCTGTTACAAAAAAACAAGGCAGTTGAAATTAAGAAGTGCTGAAGGTGGATAGGATAGGATAGACATTGAGGAAAAGCATCCAACTGCATCACAAGACAAGCCCTCATTTGGATTCTTCAAGTCCAAAGAAAAAGAGGAGAACATTACACCAAGAACTGGCCACAAACATGAAAAGAATGAGCAGTAATTGAAAAAAAAACTAGAAAAGAAGGTCTAGGACAGAGTAGGTCAAAGAATGCTGGTCGGCGACCTATAATACTCCATTCGGGGTAACAGGCCTAAGTAGGTAAGTCAATAAGTAACAGATAAGGATTAATTAAATAGATAATATCAATTTAAATGTTAAAAATATCATGAGTTGTAACAGCTGAAGAATTCTGAAGCGGAAAGGAGTATTGATTTGGTGATATTTTCATCGGTTGCTAACGAATTTTCGGCAAAATATCAGCAAGCTGACAATAAGCTAACTTAATAGTGTTAGAAGATTTATTTTTGAAACCATGAATCGATCAATGTCAGACCAACATTAGAAACCTGGAAGCACTGGACGGCCGTTTCGTCCTAGTATGGGACTCCTCAGCAGGGCGCATCCACGACTCCTTTACCTGACAGGATTCGAACCCAGGACCTTCGGTATTGTACGCGAACGCCTAACCTCTGGACCATGGAGCCTGCACCTATCGGTGTTAATGTCTAACTTCGATCAAATCACGGAGTTGCGCAACCTCATATACTGTCTTCGGTAGTTACTGTCTACACCTGGACAGGTTGAACTTCACTGATCACGAATTCCCACTACAACATGCAGAAGATTCCTCACGGAGTTAGTCACTAGTGAGCATAGGTAATTGCATTTACGGGGTTGTAGAGATTGTTAAGTTACACATTTTTGAAACCATGAATCGATCAATGTCAGACCAACATTAGAAACCTGGAAGCACTGGTTAGGCGCTCGCCTACAATACCCAAGGTCCTTGGTTCGAATCCTGTGGGGTGCAGGAGTCGTGGATGCGCACTGCTGAGGAGTCCCATACTAGGACGAAACGGCCGTCCAGTGCTTCCAGGTTTCTAATGGTTGTCTAACATTGATCGATTCATGGTTTCAAAAATGTGTAACTTAACAATCTCTACAACCCCGTAATGCAGAATATTTATTGACAAAAAATATCTCTTTTATTTTTAAAGACAAACCAACATTCAAACTCTAATTCGACTTTTTGCATGTAACAGTGTATATATATTTCCAGTTTGTTTTGTTTGTGCAAACATAATGTTCAAAACTGCAAAAAGACTAAGTGTATGAAAAGATTTCCTCATGCCGGTGAGTATTCAGCTGTTTAGTCGAGTAACATTTACCAGTTAAACTATAAATAAAAAATCTGAATTGTGAACAAACTAATCTGAAACTAAACTGAACAATTTGAATACAAAAGAAACACATCGTAAGCTGACGAAAAGCAATCTGTTAGAATATTTCAATTAATTATAATTAGATTTTTCGCCTTTTAGTCGATTTAATTACACATTTAGTCATTGAACGAATATAACATAATAGTGTTCAGTTGAGAAAAAGAAGGCAACCAGGTAACCTCTGAATTCGTAGAAATCTCCGACTACAATATCTTTAAATCATATGAAAAAAAACCTCAGCAAAATTACTTGTTTACATACTGTTACAAAGAAAATAGTCATATTGAAACCATTAATTAGAGACGAAATGTTATATTTGTTATTGTTATGCTTAACCGACTTGTGCATAGTACTAAAACCAACGACGTGTAACGGAACTAAAATGACTAGTTATATGGATTTATTATCAAGATAAAGAAAAATCTGTATTTCTAATCTTTGTGTTTTCACTAAGTATACAATCAAACATGTGGTTTCATAATCAAGCATAGGTTAATTGAACGTTCAGATCAGTAAAAAAATCCCAGAGTTATTCGTCTATTCAATAATCACCTATTGAAGAAATGTCGCCGCAAAACGCTCATTAGATTTTTTGTCAACATTAATGTTATCGATATATTGTCATCACTAGCGTCTGTTATGATTGAGATTAAGATAAATTTCATCTAGGGGAAATACAAGTGCGTAGCACCTAAGATAGTATGTCTGTTATCGTCTTAATCAACAGACTGTAACAATTACAACAGAAATCATAGAGATTATTCTTGTCGAAATTCTTTATCAGTCTGCATGTAAATGATAAGAATTACACTTTATCGTCTCATTAAATATGGATATTATTGAAACTGGAAGGATGTGAATGCAAGAAATCTAAGTACACTAAAGAATTTTATGATTTTGACACGTATCAATCAGAAGTTACTAGATGCGTGATCTATGAGATATTGATTTGTTTCAGTTACATTTATCTATGTTAATTATATATATGATATTTTTATATTTATAGAAACATATGATTCTTGCAGTGGTCTTAACAAGAATCGATGTCGTGCTAGATACACTTACTTATGTCATTACGTGTAACCATCAGTAACGTTACCAATGAGACATACGAAGCATGACCAATCAGCTTAAGAAATGAAGTACTTACACAACTCAGTCACAAGGAGACAATAATTAGTTTAATTTTATGTTGGCCGTAGAAGTAATCGAATTTTATCAAGCAAACCTTGTGACTCTTAATCTCTAGCCAGTTCCCATTAATGAAAAAAGAACTATAACATTGTCAATGAACACCGTGAACCCTCTGAAACGTGACTGAGTGAAATCTATCCACACCAAGGTTTAGATAATGTGATAACTGCTCACCATAAAGAGTCCCAATGGTGCTTTAATTTTATATTTAATTTGATTTTTCAACTATCGTTTCTCAAAGTTCTCATTGTATCAATTGAGTTCAACAAATATTTTATTTGCTTTTGATTTATTTCAATTAGATTAGACCTTCCAAGTGTTCCAATGATTTTCAATATGGAATTATGTTTTTCTATGGGGATAAAAAGTGTTGTAAACGTTCAAGGACGATTAGTCAACAAACATATTACTTAAGTTATTTTGCTGTTTGCGCCTATTAGTAACTTTTATCTACTACAATCTATAAGCCATTAAAGTTATTAATAGTATAAAAATATAAGCCTCTGTGCAGCACAGGCAGAAATTAGCGTTAAATCAAACAGCTCATCATATATATATATTGATTAAAGTGGTTTAGTCTACACAGAATATGCTGATATACAATGACCAATAACTAAGAATCAAAATCTACCTACTTATGAGTAGTACAAACCTATAATTCATTAGGTAGCGTTTGACAGACCATGAAATTTCATCAGCTCATGATTAATATATAAATTGGATTGCACTGATTTAACATTCAATGTTTATTATCAGCCAGTTCATTAACGGTAAAAAACTATGCAAAAGAGCTAAATCTAAGCTGAATTAAGTGTAACTTGAAAGCTAAATATACGAAATATCTCATTCAGAAGTCAAACCTATTAGCATATAAACATGACTATGAAATGTGTAATTCTGAACAGGTTTTGTGTAAATACACTTAGTGTTAAAACTATTCTTTACCGAAGTATATTTCAAATTCATTCATTATTTTTAAAAAAACGTTTGGGAAACCAATAATCAAGGTAAATGCTTGTCATTCGAAAAGGATAGGGGGGTACCACTGATAAACAAGTTGAATCTGATACAGATATGAGGACAAAAAAATTCCTAAAAATGAAGAATACTTAGAATTGAGAACTGCCACTCAACATTAAAGTCAGAACCTTCAACGCCAACTACCGGCAATATTGTTATAAATGTACA